AATAATACTTACCAAACATTTGATATAGCTCACCTTCCCTACATCCCAAATCATCGAAGAGTTTGTCACTTTTATCAACAAGAATATTTTTCAATCAAGTATTTTATGACATATTTGAAATTTGTCCGCTAATCATGTAGATACAAGATTACTACATTTCCCGAATGCTTGGCCTGTTCGTGTCTAAATAGTAAGCGGAAAATTTTGACAGAAGTGGATATACATCGCCAGGACAAAAGTATCCGGACACCTACAAAACTTATAATAAAAATGCTTTTTTTTTGAAATCTTTCTTAATCATCAAATATCACGTGATTTTTTAATAAAATTGTACGATATAATTTTGAAAAAAAAATTATAGTTTTTATCAAAATATGCGGAGGTTCTATGATAACTTCATAGATAAATTTAAACTATATCAATGAACTTTTATTAATAGTTTATATATAAATTCTATATACAATGTACAACTTTGCTATGGAATAAAGAAATTTTTTTTTCAAAATATTTAACCAATTAGCTTTACAATATTAAATTTTAAATATACGATTTAAAAAAATATAATTTTCATATGTTTTATTAATAAAATTTGAAGGTGTCCGGATACTTTTGTCCGGGGCGTTGTACTATATATATAAGAAACGATTGTCGCACGAGCCTATGCTAAATATTAATCTGTAGTTGCAAAATCATCGCTGATCTAATAAGTTAAAATCGATCAGTACTAAAATTTCATACTACCCCTTATTTGATTAACCTTAGAAAAATTGTCACCTAAGAAGCCATTATTCGTGTAAAAGTTTTCATTAATATATTCTTCCGCTGATTCTTTATTTCGCCGTTATACCATTCCTTTTTATTGACTTCATTATCCGTTTATTCTAAGCCTCTTTTCAAATATTATTTCAATTAGACTTGATCATGATGTGTAAATGTAAAGATTTAATGTTTACGGAATTAAAAGTCTTGATAAATATTATGTGTAAGTACCTGGCATAAGTGCATCAACCTAATTCTCCAAGTCTGATTGCATTAAACCAAGAAATTTTTTGTAATCCTTGCCGCTCTTCAAGTATCTATAATGTTCTTTTTTATTACACATAACTATTTCATCAGGGATATTGGAATTTTTCATTCCCAATATTTTTACACCATAACATTACTATATTTTATTGTGATTCAATTATCCATTCTTAAAAGGATACGATATGTATTATTACGCTTAATTGAAAGTTTTATGCATCAATTTAGCGTGACATCCACAAACTCATCTTTCAATATTAATATTGTATGTCTTAAAATTATTAGACATGCCAATTTTTTTCATTCACCTTTAATTTATTTCTACCAGTCCAATTTTTATGATTGAAGAGAATTTCTCAAAATTTTCGTGCTTGTAAAGGAATAAGTTTCTCCAAAATTATATAAATCAAAGGTTGGACGAAAAAATTTGTAGAAAAATCACATTTAAGCACGAATGCCTTTCAATAAAAATTGTTGTTTTTTAAGTACTGTATATGAACGTGCCCAAAAGAATCCAGCCAATATACTGCGGAGCATTATGAGGTTAATGAAGTTAAACTTTTTATTCCTTGTGAATGGTACCCTAATCAAAATAGTAAAATCTGAAAATATCACTTTAACTAAGCTTCATATATAATATATGTACTGTATGTATAATTATCTCGTGACATGATCGGTGACTATTACGGATTTTTAACACTAACCCAAAAATTTTTTACGTAATATTACGTAATAATACTATTAAGTTAACTAATCCATAAAAGAATAGGTCTTTTATTAACAGAAATAATTAGCAATTATTTTCTAATTATGATGTGTTAAAACTTATTCTAAATTGGGTTTGGATTGAGATTACGAATTTTGAATTTTTGTTTTATCGGCACAAATTTTTACCGAGCCATATGCATGGTTGTGATAAGCAAGAAATGTATTTAGAAAAATGTAATAACACAATCATTTTATTGTTTCTTCACAAAGAAACTAAGAGACAATCTGCACAAATTTACTCGCCGGGATACCTGGAACTCACCCAGTTCTTCCTCCTTATGAGTAACCATTACCAAAAATTGCCATCAAAGAATGTAAAAATATAGTAACTATAATTATAATAAATCCAGTTCCAATTTGATGGATTTTGGAATTGTATAAGAACGTTGTGGCAAAGAAATCATATCATTTCTTGCTAGTCCTGTCTTGGCGTAATTATAATAAGATTTTCGATTTTAAAATTCATACCTAATATTAATTTACGTTTTTACATTATTTTTAATTGATATAAATAGAATATTTCTATAACTTTCCTTCTTTACTTTATTAATTAATTGATAACGAAAGATATTATAACAATATGATATGGAATTTTCAAATCGCATATTCTATGTAATTATTTGTGTGAAGTGTGACAATTTTTAGAATTCACATAATTTCATAATTTGAAATTCCTAGTTCAAAAGCAATAACTAAAAATTAATTGAACACATGTGAAACACGCCAAAAAAAGTGCATTGCATGATCTTATACACAATTGAAAGCGTCTAAGCGTCTAACAAACTAACAATTCATTAATGATTGGAATCTCCGATGCATGTTGGCGTTTCATGATTGATCATTTGACAACTTTTGATAAAAAAAATAATAAATTAAGTAATAAATATGACGATTTAATGTTTATTTTATAAGAATAGATAAATTTTTAAAAAATTTCATCTTTTACTTTTGACGTCATATTCGGATAAATTTTGATTGTCATACAGATTTGCATACAATTAAAGAGATTATTCCTGTCTTACCATCATCTCCCGTATTTCAGAGATAAGTTCTTTTGCATATCAGATACGAGAAATACTCTTGATCTAATAAAAAAAATTATTTATTTAAGTCCTCAAATTTTACTATTCTATATTTTCTTTTCTATTTTCCCGGTTTCTACAAGAAGCTCGAAAAAAAATGAAGCAATTATAATTTATAATCGAAAAGAATATTCATAAAATATCTTTGTATTAGAATCATTTAAAATTTTCTTTACACTACAAATTATTGAAAGAGATATTTCATAGATTTCATAAGCTAGAAAAAAGAAAAAATTTTTTTTTCTTTGGTAAGATGAGGACTTTTTAGTGATCTTTTTGAAATAATGAAAATTCAACTGACTGTAATTTTATATTAACAGATCAATTCTCCGAATCTTGATAAAATTTAAAGAATTTTTTACTTGTACCCGCTGAATAACGAAACAATAATTTTAAAACAAAATTATTAATATTAGGAAGCGGGAACCGATATACAGTTCGAAGTGCCGTTTTGATTATCGATTTCCGCTTTTCTTAAAAATGTATCAATAGCGTATCTTTTGTAAAAAATGCAGAAATCGCATATGCCTGCGTGAGTTGAAATAATGGCATCACCTTTCAAATTAATATGTATACACTTCGGACTAAAAATTTGGTTCGTAATAATTTGTGTATAATACATGCAGAATTGCAGATAAGTGTGTAATTGTATCAGGAAAAAATCAAAAATGAAATCTAAAACTCACGTGATTTTATTTAAAGAATTGCGATTGGATAGAGGGGATAGAGAATGATTTTATGGTAGATGTCGATAATTGGGAAAATTGTAATTGTAATATTGTAATTCGATGAGATGTGCAATAATATCAAAATACGAGAAGTAAGAGACTTGTATTAAGCTACGGCATAAGAATAAGAGTATTTTCTATCGACATATGTTAATTTGTAAGATTCTACGCTAATTCTATATTTTTCTAAAAAAGCCTTGTATATTGAATATATCAGAGGTTTTACGAATATAGAATTCTACTGATTATGAAAAGTCACAGTATCTCTTGATGGATTTTTGCAAACACTTTAGCTCAAATTCTCTAAATACATCAGTATCAATCTCTTTATGTCCCAGCAAAACATTAAGTACACTCCTTCCTGCCCCACGATACTTTTGATTTCGAAGAAGTTTTGTTGGATCAAATTTATTTTACTTCGGTTAAGATTTGCCTCTTGATATTAATAAGAAAAAAGAAGAATCAAACAATTAATCCAAAGCAGAATTGTACAAATTTGATTGATGTAAAAAAAAACAATGAAACCAATTTTACCTTTAAAGGTCTGCCCAGCCAAGAAATTATCCGCCAAAGTCTTATACTCTATAATACGACTCCAAACCAATTCGTATATTTTTTTTGCGTCTACTTCATTAATTTTGCATCTCTTAGTTCTTTCTCGTTAACGTCGTTAATTTCCATTACAGGTTTTTCAATGACACTATTTTTCAAGAACGCAAACAAATGATGTAATACTTACATTTCATTCTTCTTGAGACTGAACCTTCACTGTTAAGTGCTAACAAATAAGCGATATACTTTCGATCATTGACATTGTGCTTTACATCATCCTAAACTTTTGTTGTTGTCATCGTTGTGATCATTTCTTTTGTTGAGTTTACTGTTGTAAGTTTGTTGTCGTTCATCTTCATTAGTTTCTTGTTTTTATGAACCAAACAACTAGACATTATCATAAATAATAGCTATCGGTTTGTATTGATCCTTTTTGCATTAGTTGTAAATATGTTCCTGGTTTTTAATAGCTTCACCTAATTTATTAAAATTGGCGGGAGCACTTATGTATATAACACCTCATTTGATGCAATCCTGATTAATGTGATTTTTCCTGTTCCGTGTTCTCAAATACATGATAAGATGATAGGCAATCCAAACTCAAAGCCCAGGGTTTTTTTTATATTCATTCATAAGGCTGTAAGACGCTCTATAATACATCAAGCCGAGTTCCTCTCTCCACACAGTCCTGTTACGAAGACGCTCATTATACTTGAGTAGAGACCTGATATACAAGAACAAATACCAAGAGGCCAGTAACAATAGACTCGTCAGAATAGATGCGGGAAATTAAGTGCTTGTAAATGATTTTAAGAAATAAAAATAAGAAAAAGGTGTAACATCAAAAGCATAAATATAAATGTATATAGTTTTTGCATTGTACTCGATGGATAGATTTTGGAGTAACCATCGTGACTAATAATAGGTAGATGGTTTGTCACAACAAATACTTCAAAAAGTTAATAACCATGAAAAGAAAAAACATTACGCGGAAAAAATGATGATTGATTCTTAGGGGTATTTATAAAAAAAGGAGAATTACGTAATTTTTTTGTTGACCGTATTTGACTAATGTGGCGTTTTTGAATGATCGATCTAGATTTATAAAATAATTATCCGACTACTCAAGCCGTTGTATTATTTATAGTCGCGTTGGCGGGGAAATTGTTGAAGCTTCTGACGAGAAATTACGCAATTAAAGTATGAATGAAATATTTTTTTTTCATTGATGTTAGTATAGACATATAGACATTTTATAAAATGAATCTATGTATCACAGATACGAGTAATTTTTATCAATAAAAAATTCAAGCTTTATAGATCTCAAGCAAATTTTTTGGAAATTTTTTTTTCAGGCTAATCACGCAACATTTCTTCCGGCTTTGAACATATATGTTTGTAATGATTTTTATGGTGGTGTGTGTGCACCAAAAAAATAAAAATGTTTATGTTGGGTTCAATATATAATAATAACGTTTACTTTATTGCATGAATAATTGGACCGTTTACAGATCGAAATTTTTCTGACAAAAAAAACCATTCTCTCAGGGAATGATTATAAATATATAAATTTTTGTAATTTGATTTATTTTAAAATTTTAAAAAAAATATTTAATATTTTTAAAATATCCAAAATATCCAGAAAATTTTCAGATTTAAATATCTGGAATACTATTTAAAATAAATATTACAAAATATTCAATAATTTAAACTTTATTTTTTATAAAGTTAAAAAGTCTTTTATTATATTGAAAGTTGGGATATAGTTTAATGTGATCTGTGATTTTTAATATGTGATTCAAATGTGATTCAAAGTATGATCTTTGTTACACCTGCGTAGTCTAAAAATTTGTGTTTCGTGATTGACTTCGAATCGACTTTGAAAACGGTTATGCTAAATCATGTGATTAAAAAATCATTTATGGTTTTAAATGAAATCAAAAAAACCTTTGACGCGATACACGAAAATTGGTCCTGGTGACATAAAAAAACTCATGAAACTCATAAACCCATATTGGTTTGTTGTATGATAAATAAAAAACTTCTTAACAAGGACTAATTATATTTTTTTAAGCAATGTCTGATTCACAAGTTCAGAACGAAAACACTGAACCTACTAAAAAAGTCACAAAGCCTCGTAAACCAAGAGCCGAGGCTTCTTCTAGTAAATCTTCAACTCCTAAAAAATCTACTCCTAAAAAATCTTCGTCTAGTAAGGCCTCAACTCCTAAAAAGTCAACTCCTAAAAAGTCTACTCCTAAAAAATCAAACCCGGTCGATGTTGAAGAATCGAGTGAAGTTACAACTCCTAGCAAAGCCATAGAGAAAACTATTGAAGAAGTCTATCAAAAGAAAACTCAGCTTGAACATGTTTTGTTAAGACCCGATACATATGTTGGTTCTGTTGAACCTCTAAAAGAGAAAATGTGGGTTTACGACTCCGAAAAGCAAGGAATGGTCTACAGGTAAAGCTATTACTGCTTTCATTATAACATAATCTCGTTTAATGTAACCTTTCATGTTTAATTTCATATTTATCTTCTTATAGAGACATTACCTACGTACCAGGCTTATATAAAATAGTGGATGAAATCTTGGTAAATGCTGCTGATAATAAGGTATAATCTGGCACAATTGGTCGTCAAATTTTTTTTTTTTTTTTAAGTGCATGAAAATAACTTTTTTTTTTCTTAATGTAAGGTTCGAGATCCTACAATGAATACTATTAAAGTTAACATTAACAAAGAAGAAGGGACGATTTCCATTTATAATAATGGAAAAGGAATACCTATTGAAATACACAAAGAAGAAAAAATTTGGGTTCCTGAGCTTATTTTTGGGCATCTTTTGACATCCTCAAATTATGATGATAGTGAGAAGAAAGTTACTGGTGGTCGCAATGGTTACGGCGCTAAATTAGCAAACATCTTCAGTACGGAATTCATTGTGGAAACTACAGATTCTTCAGTTTCCAAGAAATATCGCCAAATATTTAGGAATAATATGTCCGTAATCGAAGAACCAAAACTCACTTCATATAGTAAAAAAGAGGAATATACTATGATTACTTTCAAGCCAGACTTTGAAAAATTCAATATGTCTCAATTTGATGATGATATTACTGCTCTTTTAAAGAAACGTGTTTATGACATGGTAGCATGCGTCAATAATATCAAAGTATACTTGAATAATGAAAAATTGAAATTAAAAGATTTCAAGGAATACATGCAATTGTATTTAGGTGAGCGGGAAGAGCCGCGTCCAGATATCGTATATGAACGTGTTAACAATCGATGGGAAATTGGAGTTCTTCCTTCCTCAGAATCTCAATTTCTGCAAGTAAGTATTTATTCTTTAATCTTGTAGTAACTGGTTTAGCAAGTTATTTAATCATAATATTTATTTTATTTTCATTGAAATGATAGATAAGTTTCGTTAACAGTATATGTACATCAAAAGGCGGTACCCATGTTAACTACATCGCAGATCAACTTGCAGATAGAATTCTGTCAGCGGTTAAGAGTAAAAAGAAGGATGCAAACATTAAAAAGAATCAAGTTAAAAATCATATGTGGATTTTCGTTAAATGTTTGATTGAGAATCCAACATTTGATTCTCAGACAAAAGAAAATCTTACACTAAAGGTTACATCATTCGGTTCTTCATGTAATCCAAGTGACGCATTCTTTAAAGGGCGTAAGTTATCATAATTAATAGAAAGCTTCTTTAAACTTTTGTATGTTAATATATTATTTTTTTTTCTTACAATAGTGCTTAAATGTGGTATTGTTGATCAGATCATCGAAGTTGTTGATTTTAAACTCAATAAAGAGCTAAAAAAGACGGATGGAAAGAAAAGTAGGAAGTATGTATGATTCGTATGATTCTTCAATTTTCTAATGATGAAATTTTAGTTTATTAAATCTTAAATGTATTTCCAAATAGAATCACAGGCATCACAAAATTGGATGATGCAAATAATGCTGGCGGTAGGAATGCTAAGGATTGTACTTTAATTCTTACTGAGGGTGACTCTGCAAAATCATTGGCTGTCGCTGGATTGTCTGAGGTTGGACGGGATTATTATGGAGTTTTCCCACTCCGGGGAAAACTACTGAACGTGCGAGATGGTTCTCATAAACAGATCATGAACAACGCAGAAATCCAACATATAAAGCAAATTCTTGGTTTAAAACAAGGAAAAGAATATGAATCAACAAGTGAATTGCGTTATGGCCACTTGATGATCATGACGGATCAAGATCACGATGGAAGTCATATAAAAGGGTTGATCATCAATTTTATGGATCATTTCTTTCCATCCTTGTTGAGAATTAAAGGTTTCTTGTTGGAATTCATCACTCCTATAGTCAAGGTATGAATTTTAAAAAATTCTAATAAACGTTCTTAAGGTAAATGTTAATTTTTTATTATAGTGTACAAAAGGTGAAATGGAGTTGTCATTTTTTACCGTACCTGAATTCGAAAAATGGAAGGAAACGATTCCTGATATTAAAAATTGGAAAATCAAATATTACAAGGTAGGTATCTTAATATATTCACAAAGGAAATAATGTGTATTTAATTGCGTTTTTATATTATTAGGGACTTGGTACTTCTAGTTCTGCTGAAGCAAAAAAATACTTCAGAAATCTAAACCGTCATAAAAAACCTTTTAGAGCGATTGCAGAGGGTGAACGAGAATTAATTGATATGGCCTTTAATAAAAAGAAAGCAGATGATCGCAAGGAGTGGTTAAAAAACTATGAAGTAAGTGTTAGTTATTTCTTTTTATAAATGCAAAATAGAAATTACATTTTGTAAAAAAAAAAAAAAAATAATTAAAATTTTTATTTCAGCCGGGTACCTATATGAATCATGATGTAAATGAGATCACGATAACAGATTTTATAAACAAAGAGTTAATCTTATTCAGCCGAGCTGACAATGAGCGTTCGATTCCTAATGTTCTTGATGGGCTAAAACCTGGTCAAAGAAAAGTTTTATACACATGCTTTAAGAAAAATTTCAAGAATGAAGTTAAGGTTTCATCGTTATCCGGTGCAGTTCTAGCTGAGGCGGCATATCATCATGGTGATGCGAGTCTTCAAGGAACAATCATCGCAATGGCTCACGATTTTGTCGGTTCAAATAACATCAATGTTCTCCATGGCGAAGGTCAATTTGGTACAAGAGCTCAAGGAGGAAAAGATGCTGCTAGTGCCCGTTATATTAGCGTGACAATTCCTCCACTGACTCGAAAAATTTTTCATCCTCAAGACGACGCGTTGCTTACTTATTGCAATGATGACGGGCAGTTTGTAGAACCAGAATGGTATCTGCCGATTCTACCTATGATCCTTGTCAATGGCTCAGAGGGTATTGGAACTGGTGAGTTTCATTATATATAGGTGCGAACTCATTTCTTAATGTTAAATTCATCTTTCAATTATTAGGCTGGAGTTCATATATTCCAAATTACAACCCCCGTGATATCGTTGACAACCTGAAACGTCTAATTAACAACGAAGAGCCTGTACCAATGCACCCTTGGTATCGCGGTTTTCAGGTAATAAAATATTTGATAATTCTTTATTGATGTAAATTCTAAGTAATAAATATATAATTATAGGGAGAGTTTGAACAACTAAGTAATGATAGATATCAAGTTAACGGTATAATCCAGAAAGTTAATGATGAATCTGTTAGGATTACTGAATTGCCAGTTCGTGTTTGGACACAGAGTTACAAAGAGCAACTTGAAAAATGGATCGCTGGAACGGAGAGAACTTCTAGCTGGATTCGAGTATGTTTATATTTATTATTTAGTATGATTAAATTTAAAACAGAGTTAATAAGTTATAATAAATAATAGGAATATAAGGAGAACCATACTACAACTGCTGTTGATTTCACTGTTAAGTTGTCTGAAGAAAATTTAATAGCTGCTTTAAAAGAAGGACTTGAAAAGAAATTTAAGACTAGCACAGCCATTAATACTTCTAATATGGTGTGTTTCGATGGTAGAGGACGTATTAGGAAATATAATTCGCCTGAAGAGATTCTCAAGGAATTCTACGATTACCGACTCGAATACTACCATAAAAGAAAGGTTCGCATTGATCTTGTTTGTATTTTTATGAAAATCAAAATTAATTTATTTGCTCTCAATGAACTTTAGGCTCATATGATAAAGATACTTGAAATAGAAGTCAGAAAGCTCAGAAATAAAGCTAAATTTCTTCAAATGAAGATTGACCATAATCTCGAATTTGAAGGGCTTTTGAGAAATGCAATTATTGATTTACTCGAGAAAAATAACTTCGAAAGATTTGCAGATGATAAAGACATTAAAGATAATGACGACGAGGATTTCAATATTAGTCATAATGATCATGGATATGATTATTTGATGAAATCTCCGGCATGGAGTTTTTGCATGGAAGAGGTAAGTTTTCGTATTTTTTGAAATTCTGATTTTCATAAAATTAAGTAGGAGTATTCTAATTGATTTTCCGTGTTAGGTACAAAAACTCTTAAGTAAAAAAGTAGAGAAAGAAAATGAACTCGAAGATCTCAGGAAAAAAACACCTCAACGAATGTGGATAGAAGATTTAAATGATTTCTTGGCATTTTGGGATGTGAGTATATACTTTATGCATTTGATATTATATATTAAAAGAAACAATTTAATAATAATAACGTCTATTTAATAAATTATAGGATATTCTAAAACAGAAGCAGTACAAAACAAAGCAAGTTCAGGTTAAACTTGCCGAAATTCCGCCGCAATCATCAACACTATCAGATAATCCGTCATTGCTTAATACCGAATCTGTTGAGGTTAAAGATGATGATCAAAATGAGGTCAAATCTTATTCATTAGTACAAGATGATAACGAGATGGATCTAGATCTCGTTGATGACAATAAAAATAAGAAACCAGCTCGAGGCAGTAAAGGAAAGAATAAAGCTCTTAATAATGATAAAAAGCAAACTCAAGATAGTAAAGGGAAAAAGAATGTGATATATGATTACTTTGCGCCCGTTGAACAATCTCAAACAAAAAAGGAAGTGATTAATGAAGAGGTAAACCCAGCAACTCAAAATGAAAAGAGCGAATTGGTGGATTTAGTTTCTGACGCAGAAGAAACTGAAAAGACCGTTAAAGATCAAGATCTAGAATCCACAAGTTCACCAAAACGTGGTAGAAGAAAAGCCACGAAAGTAAAAATTGCTCAAAGTGATGATGAACCGATGGATCTAGTTTTTGATACAGAAGAAACTGAAAAGACCGATAAAGATCAAGATCTAGAATCCACAAGTTCACCAAAACGAGGTAGAAGAAAAGCCACGAAAGTAAAAATTGCTCAAAGTGATGATGAACCGATGGATCCAGTTTTTGATATAGAAGAAACTACAAAGACCGATAAAGATCAAGATCTAGAATCCACAAGTTCACCAAAACGAGGTAGAAGAAAAGCCACGAAAGTAAAATTTGCTCAAAGTGGTGATGAGACGATGGATCTAGTTTTTGATGCAGAAGAAACCGCAAAGACTGATAAAGATCAAGATCTAGAATCCATAAGTTCACCAAAACGGGGTAGAAGAAAAGCCACGAAAGTAAAAATTGCTCAAAGTGATGATGAGTCTGTAGATCTAGTTTTTGATACAGAAGAAACCGCAAAGACTGATAAAGATCAAGATCTAGAATCCACAAGTTCACCAAAGCGTGGTAGAAGAAAAACCACGAAAGTAAAAATTGCTCAAAGTGATGATGAGTCGGTAGGTCTAGTGTTTGACAAAGAAGAAACTGCAAAGGCTGATAAAGATCAAGAATCCACAAGTTCACCAAAACGTGGTAGAAGAAAAAACGCGAAAGTAAAAACAACTCAAGATGACGAAGAAAAGAGCGAGTTGATTAATCTAGTTTCTGATTTGGAAGAAACTGAAAAGACCGATAAAGAAGTCACAAGGCCGTTAAGACGTGGTAGGACGAAAGTGAAAACAACCCAAAATGATGAAGAAAAGATCGAGTTGGTTGATTTAGTTTCTGATGCAGAAGAAACTGCAAATACTGATAAAGATAAAGAGCAAGAAGTCACAACACCTCCAAAACGTGGTAGAAGAAAAACCACGAAAGCAAAAATAACTCAAAATGATGAAGAAAAGAACGAGTTAGTGGATTTAGTTTCTGACACAGAAGAAATTTCTAAGACTGACAAAGATCAAGATCTAGAAATAACAATATCGCCAAGACGTAGTAGAAGAAAAGCCACGGAAGAAATTGCAGATAGCGATTCAAATTCTAAAGAGCTAGAAATCACAAGACCGCAAAAACGTGGCAGAAGGAAAGCTGTCGAAGAAATTGCAAAGACCAATAACGATCTAAGTTCTGAAGATCTAGAAATCACAAGACCGCAAAAACGTGGCAGAAGAAAAATTACGGAAGAAACCGCAAAAACAGATAAGGATCTAAATTCCGAAGTCATAGAATCTGCGAGACCAAAACGTAATAGAAGAAAAAACACGACCTTGAATCAGGATTCTGAGAATGAAAAGGAGTCAGACTCCGAAATCATTGATCTTACTCCCAGCCGAGGAACACGAGCAAAACGTAGGGCCATCGATCATGATGCGCGCACAGTGAAACGTCCTAGAAGGGCAAAGTCTAAAATACTATAGATACTATTATATAATGTCTAGTATATGTACATGTATAATTTTATTTATTTTATTATTATTATTAATTTTTTTTTTCTTAATTGTATATACTGTACATGTAATTTATAGTAATAGAATTATGAGATAATGAGAATAAATAATGGCTTCGTAATAATGGCAAAATAAACTACTTTGATTAAATTTAAATTAAAATCAATTTTTTAAGTTGCTTTAAAATATATCTATATTATAAATAACTACAAATTTAACTCCGAGAATAAATTATTTTCAAGATTCATTTAATATACTTGAATCTTGAAATAAAAAACATTTGGGATTAATGCATAGAACATCCTAACTGTATAACTATAATCAGATTATTATTAATAGTACTCTTTAATTCCTAACAGAATATAATAGTTATTTGATGGATAAAATCACGACCCACCACTTATGACTTGCGCGAATTCATGACCCATTGGACCCATGGCTTTTTTTATTAAATTAACCATATTTATTATTTTGTTAAATGTTGTTATGGGAAATTTCTAAATCACTGCCTGATTTATTAGCAAGTTAGATATTGAAATTGTTCGGTCTATTTAATTTTTAATAAAATTTCACGAATCTTAAATCAATATCATCTTTTATTTATAACAAAATAAAAAATTCTTTAAAAAATTAAAGCTATAAGTAACGACCATAGCAATTTAATAAACATTAAAAACCAACTTTAAACGACAACATTGTACAAGCTTGAAAAATAATAAATTTATTGACCTTGCCCACCTAAAATTAATAAATTAATTTTAAATTTAAGAATAAAGAATAATAAAAAATACAAGAATTATTGTCCTTTGCATTGCTCTGGACAATATTATTGCATAATAATTGGTAAAATAAAATAAAAGTTTAAAGAATAAAGAATAATAAAATGTAAGAATCATTGTCCTTTGCATTGCTCTAGATATTTTGCATAATAATTGGTAAAATAAAATTTAATTTTAATAATATAAAATGCAAGAATCATTGTCCATTACATCCCTGTTTCTTCCACAAGCATTAAAATAATTGAAATAATAACTAATCGATGTCATACCAAGCTTGAAAAATCATAAAATAATTGTCCCGCCTGGTAGGTCCCCCCATTTACATTTCTGTACCCGTTGTAGCTCCGGCTTTACTACTCCAAATGTGACCGCAGCACCATCTGCGCCTTCTTCGGGCTCCGTATCACTAAATGACCCGTCGCGCGCGTGGAGTTTTGCTCGTTTGGTAACCAAGCAACTAAATGTGCATAATACACTGGCGTATAAATAACAGAGGTTATACGACAATGTTTGTAACCTAAATTATTAAATACATAAATTAGTTACTATATTAAATTTTATTAAATTAAATTAAAATTAACTTACATGTTTGGATTAAAGTCATTATCATCTTATAGAACATAATAGTGAGCTGGCCGAGACGTCCCTAATAGCCCAGCGTGGCTTTGCAAATCTATTATCATATTTGCTCCATTATCAGTTGCTTATCAAGAATTTTAAAATCATTTATTAATGTTTGTTATAAATTGTATATCTTAATGTAAATTAAAATTACAAAAGTCGAATTCATTCGGATGGATTATAACAGTATCGATTACTGTACCAGGAAGACAATTTCCTGATCGATCTGTATCACCATCTTTTTTAAACATAGTTTGCGATGCGGGAGTTTGTGTTAATTTTTCAATCTTGTAACAGGCTTTCGCAAATAATGATTATTTCTCCATTAGTAGTCAGGGTATCTTACAGGAATTTTCTTTCCTGATATCGGAGTTTTTTGGAATGAAAACTAAAAAAATGATCATTTATCGGAATTTTTCCCAGAAAATTTTTTATAGTGTTAAAATGCCCCATGATTCTATAGAAATTGGCTGACACTTCTTTATTATATTAGGATAGATGTTTTGAGTTTAATATTAATCGTTTGAATTAAGGTTATTTAGGAAAATCATTTTATATAATTAATGTCGATTCATCCTCTGATCACGCGAAAATCCAAAATTTTGATTTTGATTACGGACAGTATGTTTATTTCTTCTTTTGTTTATTTGACATTTTGTTTCTAATCCATTCTTCTTTCTTTCTAGGTTTCTAGGTTCTTTCAGCTATCGAGTTGTGGGTCGACTCGTCGTCACGTACCAGCGATTAAGTTACTGCATTTTGTTCTTTTACTAACTTTATTTCATTTCTTTATGGGTTTTGTTCTTGCTTTATGGGTTTCTTAACTTTAGCGGTTCTATTTATGTTATAGATTTCATTCTCCTTCCTTTATTTCACCTTTTCTGTATTTTTTTCTTTATTTCTTTCTTATTTTTTATCTCCTCTTTCTTCTTACACGTCCTCTTTCTTCTATCACATTCTTCTCTTCTTTCACGACCTCTTTCTTCTATCACGTCCTCTCTCCTCTTTCACATCCTCTTTCTTCTTTCACGTCCTCTCTTTATTTCCACATCCTCTTTCTTCTTACACGTCCTCTTTCTTCTTTCACATCCTCTTTCTTTTTTTCGTTTCCTCTTTCCTTTTTTTCGCTTCCCTTTATCTCCCTGAGATATCCAATTCTCACCCTGGATTAGGAATGAATTCACTCATTTTTTTTTTTGAAGGAAAATATGTGATGGAATGTTGTATTTATAAAAGTTTTTTTTTATAACGTAGATAATATGGTAAGCCATAGATAACATGATAAGACATTGTTTTAAAATATGTTTATTTTAATATATTAATAATCACTTAAATTGTGTTTAATTTATCTAATAAAGGGTTGAGTGGCAACATCTATATGCCTTATCTCCGGTATATGCCTTATCTACGATCCGGATTTGTACAGTATTACTAATGTAAAATTTGCACAGATCCCGATAAATTCCTGCAAATTCCATGGGAATCCAATCACTGAGTACAATACCTGTCTCTTATACACATCTAGAGGAATCCAATCACTGAGTACAATACATTGTGAAATCGTATAAATGACCTAAAAAAAAACTTTTGATATCCAATTTATCCATGATCCGCGAAAATTTAACTATAGATAAAGGTGCACCTCGGAAGGCTCGATTTCTTACAAGACGAATTCACATGAAAACATCAAAGTCAGTCGTATTTATTTCTTAATTGTATTATTAATTAACATAAGGTTATTGTCTTGTTAAAACTATAAATTGTTAGAAATCCGTAGTTTAGTAAATGGCATATACTGTATATTTGGGATTAATATTATCGTACATAGCCAATTTTCAAGGGTTTTGCTGAGGTAGTATAGCTGCTGATCAGTAGTACTAATATGAACCAAAAGATTAGAATCGAAACATGTGAAAATTTAGGTTTCACTAATTTGGGACTAAATTGTATTATATAATACGGTATTTTATGTGTAAATATCTATGATATAGTTAATAAAAGAAAATATCGGTTTGTGGTACGTTGCAAAGTTATTTTGCCATATTTGTGGTGGTGACAAAATTAAGATAATTTTTGTATTTTCTCTAAAATAGAAGGAAATTATTGTTTGTTAATAAGTTCATTACATATTTTTAACCGAATAATGTACAGATTTAATATTAATTCATAAGTGGTGATTACTGGCTATTTTAGAAAGTTTGTTTTTAAAATAAACAAAGAAAGAAAAACAATTATCGCATTGCATTATTATTCTATTGATGCAGTATATGCAGTGTTCGAAGATATAATGTAATTGTTAATAAAATTAAAAATAAAAAATAAGTTAATAACAATAGACAATAAATAAGATAGATCGGCTTTTTTGGTCGGGTTACACTAATCTCATGATCAAAGTTCAATTTTGAGTTGGTTGATTGATAAACATTAGGCAACCAATAGGTATGGTACTCTCGATTTTGGTGGTGCATATTTGATCGATATAACCCAACAGCACCCAGAAAAATTCTTCGATCACGTGATCTGTTTTTATTTATCACATCGTCACACCCTGTCCGAAGTTTCACAGTTTATATTTATCTGAGGGACTTAGATTTTTTCAAGTAGATGAAATTCTATTTGTCACGTTTTATTCATCACATCCTAAATTCTTCGATCACGTGTCAGTGCATAACGCCGGCCGAGTTCGAAGAATTTTCTGGGTGCCGTTGGGGTAGTTTATTTGATCGTTCTACAAACAAAATTTATTGGTCACAAATTTTAGTGTAACCGGTCAAATATCCCGTTCAATCAATTTATATGAACTGGCCACAAATATCATGTCGAGTGATTATATCAGAACGAAATATGTGATTTTTGAAGTATTCTCTAGTCATAAGTGTATAACAGCATTTACAACCACAACATCTGAATCGCGTAAATTTTACTGCATTACTGTCTTTAATAAATTTTTTAATTTTAAGTCGATTTCTAATTTTAAAAATATATGTTCACAAAATTATTAGAAAAGAAGTGAAGTTATTAAACCTAAATCGATGAATTTATGATGGAACGGTCATCTAATCATAAAGATCGTGCGTCATAAAAAGCAGGAAAAGATAGACCCGACAACTGAAAGATGTATTTCTCTTCTGATAATTGGCATGTTGTTTTTTAATGAACTTTCCTTAGGATATAGTCAAGAAGAAAGAAAGTCCTATATGAATCGACTCTTGATTCATTTTACTACCGTGCCGCTCACGTCTGCTCTAAATATTTTCGATGCGATTTTGATATATTTGATACACCGCGTTAAAAAAAAGCAATTTCCAACATGATTTTCACTCACTAGATTTCTAAAAAAGAAATTCACCATCCCTAACAAGATTACTATTTAATTAATGGTTATTTTCGCTCTTCCTTCATTGATTTTCTTGTGATTTCTTATTTTCTACTTGTTTCCTAGTGTATATAAAAAACTCTTTCCCGTTCCCACCACTTGCCAAAAATTCGTAAAAATATTTTTTCGTTTTAAAGAGGTTTCCTCTTATTTTTTTCGTATTCCTATAGGTTCTGAAGGTTCTTGGGGATACACCCTTCACCTTCTTTACTACTTAAACTTATTTTTATTAGTTTGCGACAGTTTTGCTACAGGTTTGAATTTTTACTGTTTTACTGTTTTTCTCTCGCTTAGAAGTCAGTTCTTTCCTTAAGTATGCGTCTCAACGAAGACTATTACGACTCTGACGAAGATGATGACGACCTTCTTCCTGGTTTACTCGCAGTTACGGCTTCTTATGACCGCCCGAAAGCTCTTCGATATATTCAACATAATCGTTCTCGTATTGAAAAATTACTGCCCTCCTCAGTACTGTCTGATCTATCACCTGATTCTCCTGATTTGGATGATAGTGAAACTTCTTTTCCCGATCTACATCCTATATCGCCCGATGTACCACTAGATCAACATGATCTTTGCTCTGATCCTGAACTTGAAGTTATTACGTACGACATATTGCAAACAATTTTGGCCCTTGATGATGAAGCTCTGATCTACGCACCGGATATTTTCACGCTGGGTTCTTTAATTTATATTAAAGAAAAATTTTTTCCACATCTCCCTTCTGATCCAATTACAGCCTCTGTTGATGACCCTTCTTTGGATGCTGATAATCCTCTTTCAGATTCTTTACAGCAGTTGAAGTGTTTCGGTAAACGTAAACGTAAACGTAATCGTAATCGTAATCGTAATCGTAAACGTAATCGCAACAAAAAGAAAAACAAACAAAAACCGCCTGCATCTAATGAAGATTCTAGATTTTTGCGCTCTCATGGTGTCCCTTTTGTTAATGATCCTCTTCCTGCTGCCATGGCTCGCGCTATCTGGGATTGCAAATATTCTGAATTGTTTGCCTCGCTTTTCTCTCACCCATTGGATCGTTACACTTATGACCCGCTCATGGAACCTTCAGTATATGACGCTTACGATTTTCCTCCTCCTGCTAACGATGATAATTATTGTCGTAATCCGTTCAACACTGACCAACCAGCACGGTTTCAAGCTTCGATTGGCTGTTCTGCGTCTGACTTTCTCGATCCATTTATAGCTGCCGATGATTATACTGGTTTCAATTATGATATCTATTATGAGATTTCTTATCCAGATGGTAGTGAGGGAGTTTACTACAAACCTTACAATATGTCCGCGTCCGATTGGTCCCGTTATGTTGAAAAGCTGGAAATAGAAGCTCTTAATTATCCGCCTAACGACTTTATCGACATTGAAGAGGATGTTAGCTGTTCTGCGTCTGACTTTCTAGATCCATTTATAGATGCCGATGATTATACTGGTTTCAACCATGATATCTCATATGAGATTTCTTATCCAGACGGTAGAGCATCTGTTTACTACAAACCTTACAATATGTCCGCGTCCGATTGGTCCCGTTATGTTGAAAAGCTGGAAATAGAAGCTCTTAATTATCCGCCTAACGACTCTATCGACATTGAAGAGGATGTTAGCTGTTCTGCGTCTGACTTTCTAGATCCATTTATAGATGCCGATGATTATACTGGTTTCAACCATGATATCTCATATGAGATTTCTTATCCAGACGGTAGAGCATCTGTTTACTACAAACCTTACAATATGTCCGCGTCCGATTGGTCCCGTTATGTTGAAAAGCTGGAAATAGAAGCTCTTAATTATCCGCCTAACGACTCTATCGACATTGAAGAGGATGTTTCTCATCCGACATTTCTTGTCGCTAATTACGATTGTCATACCTTCACTTCTGATTCCGATGATGAACTTTACGACTCGGATGATGATCCGTACTTTTCTCCTGATTTTAATTTTTTGTAGAGGATCTCTTTTACTATTCTTCTTTCACCGCCGGTTGAAGATTTCAGAGGCGTCCATTAAACGGCCTGACCTGATTCGGATTGTTCCATCTCCTACTTCATTCCTTTCTCCTCATTGCTGGACTTCCTTCTTGGTTCGATTTCCAAACCTCTTCGAGTTTTTACCAGGTTGAAGATCTTCATCTTCTAGGAATCATACCGATTTGGAAGTCGTTCTTAGAAGTTCTTCGTCCTGTTAAATATGTCCTGGAAATTTTATTGATAGAATTTTATTTTTTTTTCTCGGTTTTAGTGATAAGGTGACGTTTAGGTAGTGGTGTTTAATCTTTATTTTTCTCATATACAATGTCCTGCTATGCGTTTAGTCTTCTCTGTGTAGAAATCTCCCTTTTTGAGAGAATTGGATTGTTGGTTCTATTGAAATACGGATACGGGATCTTATGTATATAGTTGAATTAGTTTAAGGGGGTGAATAGGCGTAGAGATGACATAGCTTTAGGATAGTCTTCTTTTACTTGTAATTGATAACTTTCTTTCTTAGCGCGTTCCTTCCCTGTGGAGAATGTTTTCTTGTCTTTGTATTGTTCGTTATAATAATAGTAAAGATTAAGCTAAAGCTGTTTTGCATTATTGTTTCCTAGTGTATTTGAATGTAGATCTTTAATATAGTACATTTCATACACTCTGCAATAACGGCATGAACGAAACATTTTAGTTATTTATAAAGTTGCACGCGTATACTGTAATTCTTGTAATTCTTGTAAAATTCACTAAAACTACCAATCGATTCCATGGTGTTAGTTTCAACAATTACGACGCAGAGAACACAATTTTCGCCGTTGTTGGTGAGCATCATGAAAGTATATCATTTTAATAAAAGAAGAAAGTTATAACGCGTATATTTTATTAACCTTACTTATATGTATATATATATTTTTTATTTTCTAGATTATAATTGACCGCTTCAAGATCGAAAAATCGGTAGCGATAAACATAGTACATTACTCGAACGAGATAGACAATGGATTGTGATGACGGAATTTGGTGTTGGAAAGATGTGATTGATGGCGTAAATAGCGTAAATAGCGTAAATCAGCAATCAGCCGCTAATTCATCAAACGCGAAGTAGCATAAGATTTATTTCTTTGTAATATTCTACTTATTGTAGTATAATTAGAACACATAATATTGATAGATCCTTTTCTTTTTAATTAGTTAATACTACATTCGTTACATTCACATTTGAATACAATGTCTTTTTTTGTACTTTATTTTTTTTTTTTAGAAAATCAACTAAATTTTTCTTCATAAAATCAACTTGTTTTTTATGAACTCTCAACAAATTATTAAACTAGTTCACTACTTCACTTTTAAACGTGTTTACTTATTTAAAAGTACTAATGGAAAGCTTTTTGCAAATGATGGATTTACTCTATACAAAGCATAATATTAAAGAATTGGATAACTGAAATCATATCATCATATCGAAATAATTTTTTACTTTAAATAAAATATTAACAATATAACGTGTGGGACAAAAAAAAATGGGAATCTATTTATTTTTATCAAGTAGGACTTATACAAAAGTTATGGCTTGTGACACCTACTAGGGTGCCGTTATAAATAACCTAATGCTTTTCTAATCCCTTGACGCTGTTTTTCTCATGAAGGATACAAGTAAAAATACCGAAACATTGTCCATGCCAGAGACATAAAATCTAAAGAAATCTATTGCTGATGTTTACAGAAAAAGTGTATGAGCAATTTTAACGACAGAAACAAATTAATTGTAGAAACTTTCCGAAAATATAAAAGAGCAAAGCAATAAATAAGATGGCCTAGGATCAATGATATAACAGATAATTGGAGTAGCGCGCTTATTATTATATTACTTTTATATGATTGCAGATTTTTACATTTTGCGCGTATAAATTTTTTTGAATTTGTATCACTGCTTAAGATCCGTATTTCAATCATTTCGCTTTGTTTGACTATCTTTTATATATAAAAAAAATAATAAAGTATTTGTCGTCAAAATCGGGCTCATTTTTTGAAAGTGTGAACAGACATTGTTATTTACAGCGATTGAATGACGATACACCTCCCGGTCGTAACCACAGCCACTTCAAAAGCGGAAGTTATCAAGCAAGCAAAAACTCCTCGACAAAAGAGCAATGGTGAGATATGACGTTTCTTTTATATACAAACGTGCCGCCATGACCATTAGCACAAAAAATTAGTTAAAAAAGTTATGTAACACATATTTTTATATTAGTACGTAAGGAGTTTAGATTAAATATATGAAGAAGGGATTAGACAAAAAGTTACTCCTTCGTAAAATTCATGAAATATGGCTAATTATATTTATCTCTGATTGTTAAAATTTTTTTAATACTTTGTTTACAAATTACATTCCATTTAATCGATATTTCAAAAATAATTAACAATTGGAAATTGATTGATTTTTCAATCGAATTAGAAAACCGAGAGATACGAAAAACTATTTATTTAGGGATTAAATCTAACTAAACTTTAAATATATATTATAGTTTCGTTAAAAAATTTTATTTGGGTGTCTTTTGATTTTTTTGAATTAGAGATTAATTAATAATTGTTTCTTTTTCAGTAGTTTCTTTTTCAGTAGTTTCAAAAACTTTCCTAAAGTACCGGATTATTAATTTCGAAACAGAAATTTTTAAGATAAATTTCGATATTAGATATAAACACGTGAGTTCAATCATAACCTTAAGACGATCTTATCATTTATCAACGGAATTCACCAAAAATAAATACCTAGCTAATTTTAAAATGGTACTTTAGTTAATTCCGGCCAAGATTATATTTATTAATGCAGGCCAAAAAATCCTAATCATATGGGCTCACTTGATGATCGGGAATGTCGATCGTCAAATCCGTCCATATTTGTAGGACGAAATTTTCCAATTTCCTTTTTGGTATGTACTGATTGTAAGAAGGTTATGGTAAAGAGATTCCATAAATTGGTTTTAGGCGTCTATAAGCAGCCAAACAATTATACAACAGAGAACAATAGGATCGGTCGAAATAATATTATATGCATTTCTATTATAATAATAAAGTTTCAAAAAAGAACAAAGAACATGGATCAAAAAAAAAACCTTTTTTTTTTGTGTCTTATATTTTTCAATTCCCGTAATTTGATTTCATATTTTTATAATAAATGTGAAACATTACGGAAAATGTATTGCATATATTTTTCACATTACACAAATAAAATTTTTTTGAAAGGATTTGATAATTAATTATAGCTAGTTCCAAATTATTTAATTTATTATATAATATGTTACATTCGGAAAGGAAAGGAAACTTCAATAAGTACAAATAGATAGAATTGATATTTTATTGTTTAAATGAAAATTTTTTTGTATTCATTCATTTAATCATTCGTTTTTTTTTTTAAAAAAAAAAAATCTTATCAAAGAGGATGGTCAATTTTAAGTAAATTGTTCTTTCTTTTTTTTGCTATCTCAAAAAAAAAAAAAAAAAAAAAAAAATTGTTAATTGTTTTAATGATTGTTGTTAAAAAAATTTTAAAAGTCGTTTCGTGAAATTTTAAAGTTTTCTTCTCGCTATCATTACGACTATCAAATAAAAATTTTTGTTATTTTGTCACAGATAGATCTGCATGCAGAATTACGATGCATTAGTACTTATTATATTGGGCATTAGATAAGGAATTTGATAAGGGGTAAGGTAGAAATAATGTGACAACTGAATATATTCAATGAATCTTATAACAGTTTACTGTTTGTTCCAGGAACTCCACATTTTTTTTTCTTTCGTGACATTGATTGTGATTTGATTAGAACGTACGTAAAAATTATTCGACTCGATAATTAACTCCTTAAAAAAAAAAAATTTTTCATATAATATATAATTTATATGTCACCGTAATAATAAATAAAAATACAATAAAAAATTCAATTTTTAATTACCACACGAAATTTTACAAACATGTGAAATAAAAATTGCCAAGAAAATTATATCAAATGATTTATAATTTTTTACAACGAATTAATGATTATCTAATAATTATGATTTAAAATAAAGTTGGTTGTTGTTTTACGATTAATAAAAAGTATGCAGTTTCTTTTGAATGTACTACAAACTTTTATAATTTTTTTTAAGATTTTAACTTTTTAAGCATTTTTTTACGTATTTTTTTACTCGTCAATATAAATACAGAGCTTATGTCAATAAATCATAAAAATAATTTATCCAATAATACGTTTATCTGAATGTAATAAATTTATTATTTGTTTTTGGAATATTTTAATTTTTTTTGAAAAAACAAACCCCCTTAATAATAATGCGAGTGCGAGCCAACTATATGTCTCCGTATATCAATCAATAAATTTACTTATTTCAGTAACAATATCTGTCATGATTCCAAACATGGAATAGGAACGTAAACTCCATGAAGCAAGGAGGTGATTTTTAATTAGCCAATTCTTTTTTAGGAATAGTTTACATTTATTTACAATATGATAGAATTACGACTTCTAAGGAAGTAATGTCCATTGTCGTTTATATATTATTCCTTATTCGTATAATTTATTAAATTATAATAATTTAAATTAATTAATTTTGTAAAAAATAAATAATCATTTGATCTCTAAAACCATACATTTATTATAGTATAAACAGAGGCAAACAATTGTCCAATCGTTCGCGAATCTTAATGAAAAATAATCATCCCTATCATATGAATATTTTGAATTTGACATAGGTCCGTGCATATCACAGGTATATTGTATATGTTCAATAGATGTCCGTAATTATTTCTTTTTGAATATGACTTTAATTACTTTATTATCAGAACTTTATATTAAAAGAAAAAAAAAATGACAAATCAACCAAAAATAATTTTCATGTGATCTCTGCGATATGTTGCTGATACAAAAAATTCCGATTTCCCAATTAATTGAACCTTCTTACCCAAATAGACTAGGAGCAACATAATCTATTTCTCCTATTATTTTATTATTTCCGTTATTACTTTTCGTCACACCTCGTCATATTCGTATACAGCATTTGTTTTCTTTTTTTTTCGTTTAATAATTTAGTCTAACATTCGGTTTAATATCATTTTAATATTATCCATTTTAATATTATCCCTACAAAAAAAATTTTGTCCATTATTTCTGTAAAAAAAACTCCGTAAAAATGAGCCTTTCATGGATACATTCACGGAATAATTCGATAAATTCCGTTGATATAAAGGTTATTAATTCCGGAAATATGATCTCCGGAAATATGATCCTTTTTATGGAAAAAAGATGGAACATAAAAAAATGGATCGAGGGTATGAAGGTGATTTACTTATTGGTATTAAAATTTCCTATTTTTCTAATATAATTAGAATACGCACGGTTATTTCCTGTTCTTGTATACCAAAAAAGGTTATTTTTTGTTGTAGGAAAAAGAAAAACTGCAACATTGGATATTCGTGATACTATGTGGTTTCAGTACATGAAAGATCTGCAACAATGGACACATACATCTATATAAGTGGCCTTAATTTGTTTATTTCTCGTTAATTTATTCTTATCTAAATCCACACAAAATAAAATTACCTCTGAAAAAAAACTTTTTTTAAAAAAAAACAATGTTTCGAATATTATTTTCTCACTTTAAAACTAAAAAAAAAATTTTACAAGATAATTCTAAAATCCTTTATAATAATTATTTTTTTTATTTATTCATCAAAAATTCAACTCGTAAATCATCTGACTCAAGAAGTGACGATTTTGGCTTTAGCCATAAATTTTATAATTACGGATTTGTTCTTATTCTCTTTGAAGCAAATCTGAATATTGATATTTCGCTTCAAGGCAAAGACAAATCTGAATATTGATATTCGGCTTCAAGGCAAGCATATAATATAATGTGGGCACTAGTATCATATGCTACTCTAATAGATCCAAATGCGGGTTGATGATGACTTTATTAGGAAGAATGTCAAGAACATAAACTATTTGACATTCTTCCAAAATTTCTAAAATTAATTGAAGATGAATATGATATTAAATACGACCTTTATGACGAGATGTTGATCGCATTGCAAAGGTGTTTATACTTTCCGAATTCAAGGTTCTTTATATCATAGAATTGATGGATTAATGCCTAAAGCAATTAAATGTATGATCTTACACTTAATATTATATTTTCAATTACATTTTCAATGTCGTTCTTTTCATTTTGATTACACACAAAAGTATTTTAGAAGAATTAGATTAATGTTTGAAAGAAAATCTAGATAATCACATTTAATATAAGGTGACAAGTGGATCTCTGGTCACACTTATAAATTAAATTAGGAAGAATGTCATGACCATAAACTATTTGACATTCTTCCAAGATTTCTGAAATTAAATTGGAAGAATGTCATGATCATAAACTATTTGACATTCTTCCAAGATTTTTGAAATTAAAATTGGAAGAATGTCATGACCATAAACTATTTGACATTCTTCCAAGATTTCTGAAATTAAAATTGGAAGAATGTCATGACCATAAACTATTTGACATTCTTCCAAGATTTCATCAGTTAAATTAAAAGATAAATTTCAAAAGTCCTTTGATTATCTAGAGGATTTTCCCGGACTTTTTGGAAAAGACTATAAAACTTTCTTTTAAGTTTGAATATCTAGGATGAATTTCCAGATTTTATGGAAAAAATAGATACTCTAGATTTTCTTAAAGAGCATATGTTCTTTGAAGAAATGTGCTAATTCTAAAGATGAAATTTTGGTAATAATATAATAACGATATGAATATAATATTATAATTGATCCCTATACCAAAATAATACTTTGGTTAGAAAAAAAAAGTTGGATACGATCTAAAATCTTATATTTTCAAAGTCATCTTTTCGTATAATAATTAAAAGTTTGAAACTTCAACAATAATAGTTTATTAATTAATTATATGGGAGTGTATTACTATGGGATGGTGAACCAAATAATCGATTTATTTTTTTTTCATGATTGAACTTAGATAATTTATAATGAAAAATGATAGAATTAATATTTTAAAATAGAAAAAAAAAAGTTCTTAATTATTTTAATGATAAAATATTTTTATATAATTACTCCTGCTGACCTCGAAGAAAGCGGGAGTTAATAAACTAAAATTATTTAATAAATACAAATTTCGATCCTTTACAAGACATTATTTTTATTGTGAAGTTTATAATTGAAAAAAAAAATGACTTTTTATTATTAATGATAATAAATTATCATAATACTTTATAAATATCATTATTATAAAAGATCACGATTAATAATTTACCGTAATCAATTTTTTAAAATATACAGAAAATTTCATTTCACTTGCAGGTAATTCTTAATAAATCTCTTACAGTACAGGTTATAATTGAACGTTAAAAAATAATGGAATTTTTAACATTTGGGAATAAGTTTTGACGTATGCATAATTTGACCATTTTCTTTAATTAATAAAATAAATTCTTTTTTTTTTGTCAAATTCTGTTTTTTTCTTAATCGATAAATTTATGTGCGTAAACTTTGTGATGATGTAATATTAGCCAAAATTTGTAAGTTCCATATAAAAGATATGTGCGTGTAAACTGTGTATAATTATAAGTTTATCTTTTACTAATTTTACGTCAACTAATTTACGTCAATTTTATACTCAACATTGTACATTTATTTTATCGGCGTTACTATCATACGTAACTCAATAATAATCATTTACGAAAAAAAAAAAATTTATGCGTAAAGAAATTACTGAAGCAGACTAAGTTAAAAAAAAAAAATATTTTTTTAAGTATTTCCCATTATTTTCTGTTTTCAAAAATTAAAGCCTTCTTAGGAGGTAATGAAATTGGACCAATATATTTCTTATTTTCAATTTTACCACTCTTTGTTTTAATATTGTATTTCAAAATTAACTTATGTAATATAAGTTTTATCTCATGAATAGCAAAAAATCGACTATATAAAAAAAATAAAATTAGATTTTAATTGAAAATAAGTGATAATTTTTTCATTTATAAAATATTTACCCAGGACACGCATGTTTTCCTCCACCAAAAACAGCATAATTACGATCAACTTTTGATGCAGAAGAATTTGCATTTACAAATCGAAATGGTTTAAATTCTTCAGCATCATCGCCATAAGCATCTTTTGATTTTAATACATCATCCATATACAAATTTACCCTACGTCCTAGATACAAGAAAATTAAATGATTTTTTTTTTTTTTTTTTGATAAAACTATTATTAATTTACTCACCTTTTGGAACTGTATATCCGTTGGAAAAGGTGAAACTTTCAGATGTAACTTTATGAAGAAACTTCACTAATTTATATTAAATCGAAATAAGTAAAATATTTATTATTAAAATTATTTAAAATAAATAATCCATACGTGTATCATCCGAATGTCTAAGCACTTCTTTGACGAAACTATCTAATTTCTTCATTTTTTGAACATCAGGGAGGGTAATTGAACCATTGCATTCTTTATCAATTATCATTGCTTCTTCATATAATTCATTCAAGCATTCTGGTCTTCCCGCCAAATCTATTATAAGTAAAATTATACAAAGTTATAAATAATAACGAAATAAACATTTTTATCATTTTTATCAAATGATAAGAAATTACCAAATATTCCATTTGTAATTATTTCGCTCGTTGTTCCGACTGAGCCAAAAATTAGAACAAATAAGACGTCAATATAATAATGAAATATTTTAGGATTTGAGTAATCGAAATCCGGTTGACTTATATAGAATTCAAGTGTATCATTCTATTATGATTTTACAAAAAAAAAAAATTTTTTTTTAAAAAAAAAAATAAATAAATAAAATAATATGCGAAAAAAAAAAGAAACTTTCAATTTTTTTAATTACGTAAAATTTATAATCTTTGTCGAGCATTTTTTTCTCCTTGATACGTTTTTCGATCACCGGTTTTATGTGATTGATCATAATTTTTTGATGATGTAAAATTGGATTCCACCCAAATCTCAAAGGTAAACTAATCAAAAAAAAATTATAATTTTTTTTTTATTAGATATAGACCAAAAAAATTTACTTTTAATAAAAATGACATTTAATCATGAACTCACGTGGTTACGAAATCGTGAAGTTTCGGATGGATAAAAGAAAAAATTGGCGGAATTGTTCTTATTCGACCGATATCGAAAACAAAGACTCCAAATGATTTTACCACATCTTCATGAGATGCAACTTCCTAATATAACAGAAAATTTCCAAAAAAAAATCAAGTATAACTTAAAACGTCTCAACAATGATATATGACATGAATTACCTCTCCAACTATTATATTAGCCATTGGTAAAGCGATTATATGATTCATTAATTCCCAAATACTAAGAAATTCTTTTGGGTCTAAAAATTAATAAATAAAGAATCAGTATTATTATCAGTATTGAAAAGCAAATAAATAAAATTTTAAGATTATGATTACCTTTACAATCTCCAATAAATTTATCAATTCCTTCCAAGAGATATTTTTGTATTATTGGAGTGTAAGAATCTATTTTACCGGTAATTTCTTTAACGAGTTTTGCATTAAGTTGAGTTACTTTATCAAAATCACTAATATTCTCAAAGAGCATATCGAAAGGAAGAAACTACAGTAAAAAAAAGTTCAAATTTAAATAAATTTTTATGATTGGAACACATTTGCCTCATTTACCTCGGATAGTGCCAATTTAAAATCTTTATGATTTATAAACACTTCATTCAATGAACTTCTCGAAACAATCGTCATCACACGTCCGAATACATAAATTGAAAAACATTCACCATACTAATAATTGAATTTACGTAAATTTCGTAAATTTCGTTGTTTTTATTTTTTTTTAAAAAGAAAAAATTAAAATATTTAATGATCACCTGTTCTTTACATTTTTTAAAGAAATTTCGTGCGTTAAAAAAGTAATTATACGTATGTCCGAGAATTGGAATTGTATAAGGCACAAGCGGTGGTTCGTTCTAAAATTTATCAAGGTTTTAAAAGAAACCATTTATAACGACCGAAAACAATTTTTACTTACTGCACCAATACGAGGAAGTTTTATAATATAAAAAATTATCAAAATGATAATTCCAATGATATATGCCAAGAACTCTGTTGAAACTTCATCCATTATAATTTAGCGTAAATTGCATAATTCATGAAAAAAGAATGTCTTTTATATAAATTCTTTAAATTATTTGCGTAACTATAAATGATCGACCCTAAAAGAATTTTTCAAAATTGATTATACCATACTATTTTAGTATTGGTGAAATCATAAAACAACGTTTATTATGACGATTATGATGAATTGCATAATCTTTGAAGGGTTTAATTCCCAATTTGTTAGTATATATGAGACTTAAATTATTTTGCTTACCATTTTTAATTTATTCTTTTTCTCTTTTCGTAATTGACTCAAAAAAATTCAATTATTTTTGATTTATCACTTTTCTCTTTTTGTACAATGGAAATCACTTAAAATCACTTTCCATTTTTGATTTATCTTTTTCTCTTTTTGTAAAATTATTTACTATTTTTTTTGAATTTCATTCATTTCACTCTTTCTTGAAGAATTTGAAGGTACAGTTATGCTTTGAGTAGCGGAATTTGTATCTTGTATGGACGATCCAGAATATTTAATATTAACGAGTTATATAAATTCAAATATTAATTAATTATTATTAACGAGTTATATATTTTTAATTAGAATATATTACACAAGAATAAGAATTTGATATAAATAATATTAAAAGTATTAAAGGTAATTAATTAATATTTAAAATTTATATGTCATCTGTCCGACTAATTAACATTTAGAATTTTTTTTCGCTATAATATACCTTGTTTCACAAAATTCTTTTATTTTTTATAATTTAGTTTTAGAAAAAATGGAGTAATTCCATTTATTACTAATAAAGTTTAGGGATATCATTTGTATTTATGGACCGTTTTCCATCAAATAATTTCATAAATTGTATTAACATTATTTACATTATGTTCAAACAAGTTCCCACATATACTATAACTAATAAGCATTATTATTTTTTTTTTTGAAATTAATTTATGTTTTAAATAAATTTATTTTGATTACCGATTAATATAATTACTGTATACGCAGCAAATAAATTTTAGATTTCCGACCCTCTTTCACCTCGCACACCCTAGAAGATGATATCAAAGTATGCGGAAATTCAAATTATACAAAAAATCATCAATTCTTAATTTGCATCTTACATCTAATAAAAAAAAAGTTTCCTCATTCCATAAAATCATTAAGTAAATAAAATAATCAAATAATCACTCTTTTCGTTCCATAAACGTTAAAATATTATTTTTTCAAATACAACCACACAAAGTTTCAGCTATAACAGATAATTGAACATATACATGTATTGACGTATGTAATACTAGCAACATGCTGTTAATAGAAATATTATTGGTTCATCCTTGCATCCTAAATAATAAAACATAGGGCTGACGACCTAATCACGTGATTTAATAAAATTTTTGATTGGCTAATTTTATGAAAAATTTTATTATTATTTTTTTTTTAAAAACTTGAAACTTAGCCAAAACGACTTTTTTTTTTAACAATTTATATATGAAAAAAAAACATGAATTTTTATTAAATTTTTTATAAGATATGACTAAGGCCATTACAAACTTAATTTTATGGTTTTCACAATATAAAAATTTCATTAATAACCCGGCAACCCGGCCTTTAATTTTTTTTTCAAAAATTTTATGTGAAATTTTTTTTTCAATTTTTAAAAAATTCTCACCTAGCATAGTAATATTATAAAAAAAAAATTTTTTTTTATGACTTAACAAAAACTGACCCGGCCGGGATATGAAAACCATTTTTACCACTTTGTGTCGCCTAATCTAATTTTATTTGATATTATAATTGAACTTAAATAAAAAAAGAATAAAATAAATGAAATAAGGAAAAGAAAAAGAAGAAAAAAATAAACATACCTGGTTTCCGATAGTAAGAAGTGAAAACAAAAAAGACGTTATCTGTTATTTTTTAAAAAAACAAAGGACACGACGTCACGTTAAAAAAGATTATCTTGGTAATTTGTTCATTGACTATAAAGTATAGATGAATAAAATTAAATAAAATTGGAGTTATTAGATTAAAAATATAAAAATATGAATTTAACTTACTAGGAACAAGTAGTTTGAGTTTATAGTATAAAATGTGTAAGAGTCTGTTTATTAAAACGCGCTAAAAAAAAAAGAAAAAAGAACCCCTCCAAAATTTATATTTTGAAGTAAAAGTTTTTTGTGAAAAAAGTTGTTTTCGCCGTGGCTTAGAAATTTTATGTTTCGTCGGATCAACTATTTTTGAAAACGGCTAAGACTTTAAAGTTTTAAATTGTATGACTATCATTTTCCTCAGTTATGAGTTACATTTATTTCATTCATATTTCATGATCTCTAACTAATGATAAAAATTATATATATACACATATATATTTTTCAATTTTAGAGACGAGAAGTATGTTGGATAGTATTTCTAGTAATTTTGTAGGTTCAATATGAAATTTTTAAACGCTATATAGAATTGCTTTGGTCGTTATTTTAAATTTTGAATGGATTGTAGAAGAATCTGGCGTAAAAACAAGGCATTATTGATTCTTTCGGTCGTACACAATTTTTTTTTTTTTGGGGAAGTTTTCGATTCCTACAAAACAAAAAAAAAAAAGAATTAGACGCTTTCCCTTTTATAAAAAATTAAAAAATTATAAAAAAAAAGAATTAAACCTTTTTTTTTCGTACACGATTTTTTTTTTGTCTCCTGATTCTTCTGATCCATCCGAACTGTAGGCGAAGTGCTCGATTCCTATGAAACAAAAAAAGAATTAGCTTAATATAAGAATACAAAAAATACAAAAAATACAAAAAAAGGAACTAAACATACTTCTGATCCGTTCGATTTCTACAAAACTAAAAAAGAAATATATTAGATACAAAAAAATACAAAAAAAAAAGAACTAAACATACATCTCGTACCTGATTAGCATTTAAAATTTTTGCATTAATATCATTTTATTTTATAGCTTTTTTATATACTACATTTTTTCCAACCTCTTGCTTTGATAATTTACAATCTAAATGAATAATAAAAAAAAATAACTTTTTTTTATCCTTTTCAATTTATCATTCTCTTGTAGATAAATAAATCACGTAAATATCTTTCTATAGATAGTTTTTTAGTAAATAAATTTTAATAAATTTAAATAATTTTATTTAAGTAATATAAAAGTTTTTTAACAAATAAATATGAAGATTTTTTTTTAACAAATTGTTTTTTCCTCAAAGGTATCATAAGGGCTAGATTTCAAAAATAGGAGACTCCATCTAGACTCTATAACATTAAATTAGGAAATTTATATCGATTGTTAAATTTAAATCATAAAAAATTTCTTCAATCTCTCACCAAGTAAAAAAATACAAATAAAAATTAAATAATTACATAATAAACATAGTAGATATGATACCTTTAAAAGTAGTCTGAACTTAATTACTTTCATCTATAATAAAATAAATAATTCAATTTGGTTAATAGATCAAAAAAATCACATGTAAAAAAATTACCTTTGGAATTAATATCAAGTTTAGTAAAATCCATTTTTAAAGAATCTATAAATATTAGTTGTTAGCATTGTAAAAAAATTTAAATCATTATAGAAAACTATATATGTTTACCTGAATATTCTAAATCATCATTTTTGTCTGCATTTTTAGGTTCTGGAAGATTTTTAAAATCTAAAAGTCTACTTGTGTAAACTGCTTGAGAATGTGTTGTATATGAGAGTGTACTAGTAGATGATAATGGTGATTGAACTGTTGAAAATAACTTTTTATTAATTTCATCTGCTTCTTTAACTTGCCTATAAATTATAGAATTCACATTATTGTGATTAATATCAGAAAATAAATTATATATTAACCTATGTAATACAATTGCGCTAGGTCGTTTTAAAGGGTTTGCATTCCAACATTGTTTAATAATGTTAAAAATTAATTGAGGAATTTTATAATTAGACTTTGGCCTCAACCCCTGACAAATTTTCATTGCTAAGAACTCATCATGAGCTATATCATGATAAGGAGGCAATCCTGTACAAACTTCATATGCAATAATTCCGTATCCATAAATATCACTTGCTTGAGTATATTCTTTTCCTCTTAATACTTCTGGTGCTATATAAGGTAATACACCATATATTTCTTTATTGTTATTTTGAGAGGATTTTGCATTTGCTGGTTGACATAATCCCAAGTCAGTAATATAAGATTCTTGATCAAGATTGCTTAATATATTTCCACTATGAAAATCATGATGAATTAATCCTTTATTATGAATAATTTTAAGACCTTGTGCAATACCTTGTAAACACAACATCTTATGCTTCCAATTCAAGTTTTTATTTAAAAGTTGTCTTAAACTACCATTTTTTAAATCCATTACCATCATAAAATTATTTGTTTTTGGATCTTTGGTAATACCATAGCAACTAACTACCCATCCAAATCTAGATTTACATACTAAAATATTTGATTCAACCTAAGGGATAATTATAGTTAGATTAGCATTTAAAAAGGCTAATAATACTAAAATATATAAGAAAGTATCTTACTTCTTTTAAAAAATCTGCCGTAATACCTTGTGAATTATGCAAACATTTTAAAGCAACTTTTGTTTTACCATTTCTTATCAATTTATTATCATAAGAATCCCAATAATTTATATAACCATCTTTCCAAGTTGCTTTAAAAGTAGTTCCAAATCCCCCTTTTGCTAAATATTCAACATCTTTAAATTTATCATATTCAATCCACTCTATGGTTTGATCAAATTTTTTAGCTTTTAATTGTGCTTTTTGAATAAATTCATCAACGTCATGATTTCCACTTGTCCAATTTTTGAAATTTGGTTGAAAAAGACAATAATTGCAATGATCATAATTTCTTCTAGGTTGGTTACATTTTTTGCATAAACCATTGTTTTTATAACATTCCTTTAATTCTTTGTCTGTTATTAGTTTATCGATTAAAGATGTTTGTTCTTCAGTCAATTTCCAATACCGGTCGTCAAAATCTTTTATTTGTTCAATTACATCATCACTTAATTTAATTTCATCCATTTTAATAAATAATTTTTTCATATGTAAAAATTATTAAAAAGATAAAAAATAATAAAGGAAAAGAAAAAAAAAGAAAAAAAAATGGTGGAACGTTATTTTGGGTTGCAATGATTTTAAGATCGGCAACAAAATTATCAAAAAAAGACTAGTTAAAATACACAGATAATCTTGATTGGCAAATTAAATTTGTCATTGCGGTTTTTTATTTAAATTCTCTATAATAGGTAAGATTAAAATAAATAAGTAAAATAAAAAAAAATGTTTAACTAAATATAGTAAGTAACTAGTAAGTATTATGTAGTTTATGTAATTTAAAAGTGGTGGATTTTTTTTTTTTAGCGAAAGTGTCCAGAAAATGCTTTGAAATTGTCTGAAATATAATGTACAAATTTCGGACAAAACTAAATATCCGGAAAATGTCTGAAAACGATTACGTTTTAGAACATTTTCTGGACATCAACTGGTTCAAGTTCTGTCTGGAACTTATCATCCAGGTTTGAGCCTAAATCAAATGATGAGTATCACTTGCACAGACTTTGAAATTTCAATTATATATCACATTTTTGTCTGCTCTTCATTTTTTCTTAGTATGTCAATAAAGACTTTGAATGTCAGTTTTGATATTTTTACATTTTTTGTGAAAATTAATTAAATTAATTTATCCTTTTTTGAAATGCTGTCAAGATTTTTCTGAATTTTTTTTCATTGTCCGGAATTTTCCAGAATTTGTCCTGTTAATCCATCCGGAATTTGTCCAATACGAAAATTTTAGAACAAAATTCTGGACATACCAAGATTCGGGACAGCTCAGGATAGATAAAAAATGGACATTTTTCGGACATGCAGAATGATAACTGGATATATTTCAGACATTTTCGCCAACATTTTTCGGATAATTATTTTTCGTAGGGATGGAATACGATACTTAAAATGGGAAATTTTGCAATTAAAGAGCAAATCAAAGAAGCAATTGAAATTAACGAAAAATTATATCCTCCAACAACTACCATTATCATTAACTATTAGTAATCTCACATCTCTTCAAGCAGTTTACACAAGTAGACTTTTAGATTTTAAAAATCTTTTAGAACCTAAGAATGATGATGAATATTCAGGTACTAATTATCATTCAATAGTATATATTAAATTAATTCCATAGTACTAACAACTTTATAAAATATAAATATAAAGTTCAACATTAATTCTAAAGGTATTATTTGACTATTAAGTATAATGTCTTAAATTATTATAATATCAGACTTATTATAGTGAAATAGTAAATTACGTGACTCCAAAACTTTAGAACATTTGGTACTTTGTACAAAAAAAAAAAAAAAAAAAAAAATTATCTCGATCTTTAATTTCCTATTATTTAATTTTATTTTTATTTTTCAGCTAAATCAAGTTTTATCGGAAAATGAGATTTTACTACAACCACTTTTCTTCACATTTTCATGATAGTAACAAAATAATTTATAATTTGGAGCATAAAACAAAGTGGAGAACGATTATACTGTATATGTAAATTTAAGGTCTATACTTTATTTAAAATAAATATTAACAATATATAACAACAAATGTCACGGAAATGTATAATAAATTCTGATAAACAATGAATAAATAAACTTAACTGATGTGTTTTAACAGAATTATAATTAAAACAAAAAACAAGCGTTGTTGAATAGGTTTAATTGTTAAATCACTAAGATCTACAGTAAACTCTTTTTCGTAATGATAAATTTAACAATAAAAATTTAATTTCATTATAAAGAGACTTTCATTTAAAATTTCTACATATCAAATGCGTATTGTATACAAAAATTAATTTAATTTTAAACATAGTTTTTTCAGTTACAGCAAATTTCAAAATATACGGGACACTTGAGAAATTTGATTGTCGGGTTGTCGGGTAGCCGGGTTACTCGGCAGTAGGTTGTTTATTAGAAAAGTATAAATAACACGTGACGAGTATAATGAATAGTAGTATATCAGATTATATAATAACCTACTGCCGAGTAACCCGGCTACCCGACAACCCGACAATCAAATTTCTCAAGTGTCCCGTATATTTTGAGATTTGCTGTAAATCAGCATCACTATTAGTCCTGTTCATTTCCGGTCGGTCGCATTTTTCGGTCAGATTTAAGTTAATTTTGATTGGGCTGATCAGTTTGTACAACGCAACCATTTTTCGAACTTTTAGCCCAATTTTTTTCGGGGGTTTTTTGGTCGAACGCCAAAAATAACCAACCAAAATTGGATAATTTCTGTTTACGTGACATTTAAGAAAAAAATATATATCAATAGAAGGAGTTCGAACTAAATTTCAATCTAAAGCAGTTCAATTTGCGATCGAAAATAAAAAAATTTTATTGGATAATTTTTGTACAACAAATACGACCAAAAAATGCAACCGACCGGAAATGTGTGTAATTAAAAATTGGTATTACTGAGCAGCAAAATGGGTTGAAAGTTCCCGGCTCGCGTGAATTTTGAAGAAAGTTTGCCAGCCCAAACCGGATCCGGATCCGGGTCCGGGTTAGGGTTTTCGGGTTCCGGGTCCCGTTTGCAGACCTCTATTATACGGGTTGATTCATAAGATCAATGTTATCTGTATAATAAAATTATAATAAAGTTTTCAATGATCGCATTAGTTTTTTAATATAGCACGTTATATTGTTTTTTGTGAAATTCAGACTACTTTCACAGTAGTAACTAACTAAATTCCCGAAATAATCATGTGAATTCGATCACCTGAAATGCGCAGACGAAAGAATAGGGCTGTGCGACATGCGAAATTTATGGATTATGCGCAGTAAAACGCCAGTAGCCCAACAAATTTTCTATTCCACGTGATCTAAAATATTCATTACCGGGCTGCTGTTTATATTTATCTGAGGGACTTAGTTTTTTTTTGCCTCATCCCGAATAATATGAAAACAGCTGTAAAAATAAAAATCCGGACGGCCGGGTCAAAAAAGACAAATTTTGATATGTGTGATATGAAAACCGAATTTATAACTTTGCGCCGCCTTATTAATTATCATTAAAATATATCGCTTTAAATATTTTTAGTTTCAAATGAATATTTGAAGGTGTTTATTAATATAACAAATTATTGGATAAAAATAAAAATCTATAAAATTTTGCTAGTTTTTTAATTTTAAGTGTGCTATTCGTAAATGCATCTAATAATTCTGTTTTCCACAAGTAAATAAAAACTTTTCGTTAGTACTTTAATATATTAAATTTAGATAAATTCAAGAACAACCAAAATTCTATTTGATAACCAGTATCACCGCGTATAATGGATCGTAAAAGGAGTTGTAAAAAAAGAAATATGAGATTTTCAAAGTTTGAGTTGGAAACTTAGAGATAATGGCATCACAGTTTTTTTTTTTTTTTAAAAAAAAAATATCATTAATATTTAGTTTTTAAGATGTAGATATTACAAAATTATAAATTGTTTAATAAAGATTTAACAAAAAGCTTTAATATTGTTTTAAAAATTGTTATTAAAGAAGTGAAATACGTGAAAATAATTGAATTATACTTTACAAAAATATGAATCTAATTATGTTTTCCAGGTTAACATTTGTAGTACACTCAGCACAATTATTACTAATGAGTAATGACAAAAAAGTTGCTTTTTAGATTGCACGATAATTTGAATTTTTGGACCACGAGAAAACATCGAAGCTGCATTATCAGCGGGTGATTTTATTACTGAAGGCGTCACTAAGAACTTGGAGGAAATATAATGAAATCTGTAAATTATAAGTTATATAAACCTCCAAAGATCACATATACAATTGACATATACAATTGCCTGCCATTATTTCTCGTTATTTATTTATAATTAACACTAATATATCTAATTTACTTAAATATTAATTGATATATTGATTTAAACTACATTAATCCTGTACAAGTTACAGCTAGTTAATTAATATTGGCTAAAATTATTTTTATTTAGTTTCATTCAATCCGATTGTTTATTTGAAAATACTTTATGCCGATCAATAGCGTACGTAACATTCGTAACAAGGTATTTTTATTTTTATCATCGGATTACTATATATAGAATTTTTGTATCAAATTTTTGAATGTTACACATGCACAAGGGACTATATGTTGAATAAATTTTATCCGAACCCCGTAATTTTAAAATTTTTTTTTTTTTACGTTTCATTTTATTATATGGTTAACGTTATTTTTGAATATACTAATTCAAATTAATTTAGTATGGAATTATCAAAAATGAATTCTAAAGAAAATAAAAGAAATTTATGGAAACAATTTGTTGATCATGATAAATATCAGGTAAAACGATTTATTTTTATCATTAATAATTAATATTATTGAATTTCTATTTGAATAATAATGTTTTTTTTTTTAATCATTTATTTTAAAAGAAACATGTTACTATTGGTTCAACTACTGAATCAGCAGAAGGGATAGATGATAAAATAATTTATATGGAGGATTTAGAAAAAAGAAAACAAGTATATGGAATATGTGGAGAATGTAATGAACCTGGCACAGGAAAAAAATGGTGTCAACCTTGTAATGCTAAAAGATCTAAGGATAACTTTAAAAATTGGACTAGTGGAAATAAAGATATTGATGAATTTATACATCAATCACAACTTAATACTGTTTACTATAAAAAATATCTTGAATGGATACCTTTTGAAAATTTTAAAGATATTACTTATATTACCAGAGGAGGATTTGGTAAAATTCATTCAGCTGAATGGTCTGAAGGATATATTGTATATTGGGATATTGAAAATCAAAAATGGAAAAGGGTTAGTAATACGGAAGTTGCATTAAAAAGTTTGGATGATTCATCTTGTATAAGTACAGAATTTTTAAATGAGGTAATTAAAATAAAAATGTAATTATTTAAATTTTATTTATAGATACTGTATAATAAATTTCCTTTTTAATATTTTTTAGATTAAAACTCATCTTCAGATTTATCTTATTGATGTTATTCAATGTTATGGAATAACTCAAGATCCAAATACCAAAGATTATATGATGGTTTTAGAATATTGTGAAAAGGGAAATTTGAGAAATTTTTATATGAATAATAAATCAAATTATTCTTCAAAAATTGTTGCATTAAAGCGAATTGCAAGTGGACTTCTAGATATTCATAATGCTGGAAAAATTCATAAAGATTTTCATTCAGGCAATATATTATACAAAGTTTTTCCATATATAAGTGATTTAGGAATGTGTCAACCAGCAAATAATGAAAAGCAATCAATTAAACAAGAAGGGATTTATGGAGTATTACCTTATATGGCACCAGAAGTTTTACGTGGATATCAATATACAAAAGCATCTGATATTTATTCATTTGGAATAATGATGAATGAATATATATCTGAAGAAACTCCTTATAGTAATATTCCTCATGATCATGCTTTATCTATTAAAATATGTAAAGGACTTAGACCAAATATTTTTAAATATACACCAAAATTACTTGCAGATTTTATTAATAAATGTTGGGATGCTAAAGCAGAAAATAGACCAACTGCTAAAGAATTGTATCAAACACTAAATAAATTGCATGATTATGAGTATGAAGATAGTGATACCAAATCTCAAGTAGATGAATATGATGATAAAATCAATTTAAACAGAACAAGTGAAAAAAGATCCAACAACATTCAAACGCATCCGCAAGCAATCTATACTAGTAGACTTTTAAGTTTTAAAAATCTTCCAGAACCAGTGAATTTAGGTAATTTAAATTAACTTAACTTTGGTAATCAAAAAATGTTTACATTACTAATAACTAACTTTATTTTTTAATAGACGTTACTAAAACAACATTACGTAAGTAATTATTTCTATTGGCAATCAATATAATTAATAAATCTTTATATCGTTTTAATAACATGTTAATTAATTATAGGTTCAGAATGTTTTGATTGTCAATTAGACGAATTAGGTAAGGTAAAATTTATTCTTTAGTTCTTTATTTCGTTAATACTTATTAATTTTCTTATTTTGTAGATCTTAATCAAGATGAAGAAAATAATATTGAATGATTTTTTTTTTATGAGAATCAAAGAATTTAGTTTAATTAAAGTTATATTATTAAATTATTTCTTTTATACTAATAAATTATAAATTGGTTAGCTATTGATTTTTCGTTTATGGAAAATTAATTTTATCATTAAACTACCCAGAATATTAATTGCAACTTTATTTTTTTACGTAAAAGATTTAATATACAGTACGTAATATAGTACGTAATATAATGTCAAATTAAATTATCACTTATTGAATAAATTTTTTTACTTGACTATTTTTAAACGAAAAATGATTTTAAATTTTACAAAAATGGCTAAAAAGATTTTAATTATTGAATTATAAATTAGAAAATTATACTAGATCACTTGAAATATTTTGATTGTAAATTAACCTAAAACATAATGGAAAAAACTGAACAAAACACTAATGAAAGGATTATTAAATTAAACAAAGACCAAAAATGAAACAAATTAAAATAATAAGTAAGATAAAGGATCAAATGAATGAAATCAATCGTGAAACAAAAAATCAAAGGATCAAATGATAAAGTTAAATCGACAAAAAAGGAAACTAAGTGAAAGTATAATTAAAAAAGAAATCCGAACATAAAGTATAGAACGAATATAAGATGAAAGTCTAATAAGTACTGAAGTAATAATAAGTGATTTGATCCTAACCAATATATTGATTGTTTTATGTTCATTATCTTAATTAGAGATATATTTATTGATTTTTTCGCAATTTGAATGAATCTTGACTATTTATAAACTATCAAATACACTGAACATAACAAAAATTAAGGAAAATATGTTATTTCGGATTGACAACATTTCTGCTGAAAATGATTATTTGTAAATTACTGTTTTATTTCTATAAATAAGTTGACATAAGATATTAATTGGTCAAACGGGTTAGTCAAGTGGTCAGCCAACATTGGTCATGGTTATAACTCGACCGACGCCATCACTAATCTTAATAAAGTCTTAGATTTATAATAAAAATAAACTATACATTATGGCAAAGATATCATTTTGAAATTAGTATTATTTATTTCATGGGGAGTTGGAAATAAATGGGTAATCCCCTGGAGCGTGTCACTCATTAAATATTAACTATTTTAACTATTTTAAACTAAAATTAGTAAGTTTCCGGCTATCTATATGAGACCGGGAAATAACTAAACGAAGATTCCCGGTCATTTATAAACTCAACTAATCACTCGCAATTTTTAAAAATTAGTATGAAGGTGATCATGAGTGACACTTAGTGCGACAGGGGATTACGCTATTTATCTAATATAAATATCAAAAAATTAGTTTAATTATCATTAATGACGTTTCATATTTGGAAAGTTATTGTCGGTATTTGGTTATATGAAAGGTATTGCACTTTCTTAAATACTAATAGTATCTTATGTTTACTGATCTATACAATAATGTTTGTAAATATTTTTATGTATTTGAATGACCGAACATTCATGTGAGTATAAATTATTTTAACAAACTTTAAATATACTAAATTTTTTAATTAATATAATCCAAAAAATCAGCGCAATAAATTATGAGATGTAGGAAATCTTGTTCAATGAATGCTTTAAATATAAACTATCGTGATTCTTACGTTCTTTTTTACTTAATTTCAAACATAAACGATTTAAGAGACATAAAGTTTCGATTACAATTTACACTAATTTAGATGATGAGTATAGTGAATATAAAAACTACCTTTTTTTTTTTAAAAAAAAACAAAATAAGGAGATACAGGTAAATATATTCTTTTTAAATACTGTCTATACTCGATCGTCTGCTTAGTATATTGTTACTATAACAATATTTGCATCAAATTTAGAAAATAAAAAACTTATAACACTCCGGTAAATTAGCCGCTAATATAATAATAATAAAAGAAATTCGTTTGTTAATATAATGCAATACTGCATGCGAGATACAAAACCCTATTAGTAAAACAGTAAGTTAATCTTCTTATATGCTTTATTTTTATAATGCTTCTATTTTATTTTAAAATTATCCAAATTATAATCCAAAAAATTTGTGAGGATGGAAAATTTTATGACCTTCTTAACTCATAACGAAACTAAAATGGCGCAGTAAACAAAATTCACATAATTTTTGTAAATGTATGTTATGAAAATAAATTATTTAGCTAATATTAAATCTACCTTATTATTATTTAACATAGCTTTAGTAAGCACAATTTCGCTCGGTTTAACAGTCAAAGAATAGGATGTCAAAATATAATTTTTTTTTTGAAAAATTTGTATGGTTATCAAATATTATACGCACGTGATAATATGGTTCATCCAATCATTTCCGTTTTATCCTAATTATCTTATCATTTTATCTAAACAAGATTAACTCACCGAAGATTAAATGAGCGCCTAAAATTAAGATTTTCTTTGTACAAAAAATTATAAAAAGCATTCTTTTATTAAATAATCAATAAAAATACTAAAATAAAAAATAATTTTAATGAAGCAAAATGTATGAAATAAAGTAAAAATAATCCTTTTTTTAAAAAAAAATCGTTAATCAAATCATTATATTAGCTAATATCGGTAACTGATAAAAATTTCAATAATTTTTTTTAATTTTTGTTCTGAAACTAATACTACACACATAAACCTTACAGGGCTTATCATTTCTCAGGAAAAAATTTACATTAACAATCTAAATAATTATCTGCAAAATGGTATTCTAGAAATTACCTTACAAATCGCAAAATATCATAAATATGGTAGTTTTTAATATGCAATATACTTATGTCGTAAGGATTAGTTGATAATTATGAAACGGAATTAGCTGATTTGAAGAAGCAAGTTGGATAAAAATAAGTATTCATTGGTTCTTTACATATTATTTGTCACTAAGCTGTAATGCCAGCCGGAACTGACTTTTACAAATTGTGCAATACCACGTGATTCCATTATCGTTTGTAAATTTGTCTGCGTTAAGCGATGGAGACAGTATACCATAGATAATAATATTATGCAATGTGTAGGTAATGTAAGTGATTTCCATTTGAGCTAAAAATCAGTGTACGAATATTACAAACATTTCTTCGTACGAAAGTTTAATCTGTATATACTCTTTTTTTCTTTTTTTTTATAAAACTTTTCATTCATTTAGTCTTATCCCCCTTATTATAATCCCTAATTTTTTTAACTCTTCATACTCTACCCTTATTCTATTACTAATTTTCATTCTGTGTGGTGGTGGTGCGGTGTGGTGTTGGTGATGGCGTGAGCGGTATTGATACTGTATGGGCAGTACAGTAGTAGTTGCAGAAGTGGTAAAGTGGGTACTGTAGCCGCGTTCGGTTGTAAGTTCTTTGTAGTTAAAATCATTATATGAACTAGGAAAATGGTAACCGTTAAAGTCCGTCGCGTTTATTTACTCGGATCTTTTTATTATTATCATACAACATTAAATAAAAAAAATTGATTACAAAAATATCAAATTCAGTGTTACAAAAAAAAGGAATATGATTGAAAGGATTTTTTAAAAATAGAGAAAATAATTGTTTAAATTTGAATGTTAAAAATTTCTTCAACGTGCTAGTCCTAAGAATGTTATTGCGGAAAAACTTTGCACAATAATTTAAAATCAAATAGTCTTAAATAATCAGATATATCAAATTATTTATTATGTGAAATCAATTTAATGAATTAATAAAATGAACAAATTGATTTAGTGACTTATGTAATATGTAATTACTATTTGTTGCTGACTTAGCCAAGTCTTTAAAAACCTGATCACCACGTTGAGGTGCAGCAAGCAAGCCAGCAACATTGATCAGAGGGGGAAGGGGAAAACGAAAGGGAAAGGAGAAAACGAAAGGGAAGGGGAAAAACGAAAGGGAAGGAGGAAAACGAAAGGGAAGGGAAAAACTAAAGAAGGGGAAGGGGGAAAGAGCAATCTTTGATTGTTGATTATCATTACCACCTCCTGACAATGAATATAAACTAATCCCCAAATAGTAATCTTCATTATTGTGTACATTCGCTCTTCTATGCATAGAAGTTTCAACTCCTTTCTGGAACTTTACCCCTTCCATCTTATTATCGTTATCCTTTTCTAACCCATTAATATATCTATTTTTCACAATATTCCCATCTCATCTTCCAAAGATTCGCTGATACTCTCGGCTAAGTCTGATATTCCTCTGGCATGATAATAATTTTTATCTTCATTCGTTTTGTTATCCTCTAATTCCGGTGATGCCATTTGCTCTACGTAGTTTATTTCTATCTCGTTCATATAAATTTTGTAAGATCAGATGTATTTCCAACCAGGTTTAATAATCTATGAACTTCACCTTTTAATGTGCGTTCTCTTTGTTCTTGCATTTGTACAAACTCTAACTTAAGTACTTTTTCTCTAAGACATTTTTCCTGTTCTTTGATGTCTCCTTTCTTAATCATGACCATTTCACATAATTTTCATATTAGCGCCGCATGCGTGATGTATATCTAATGCCAAAAACCTGGCTATTTCTTCATCTGTATCTTCCTTTTGTAACCCAGCTTGTTCTAATATTCTTATTTGTTCATTTTGTTTTTTGCTCTAATATCCCTCCAGCACTCTTACGTCTTCTATTGATATCGTAACTCCCATGTTTACTTTATTATCTTTTCTTTTCTATTTTCCTTCCTATTATTGTAAAAATTTTTTTTACTGCGGATTTATAGTAAAAAAAAGGGGTCCATTAAATATTAATGGTAAATATCATTTTTTAATTTTTTATATTAAGTTTATAGAATTACGCTTATGAATCATTTTATATTAATTTACTCTAAATTTGATGTAACAATATATATAAATTGATACTGTACATTGCATTTATTAGTATGTACAGTTTCAATACGGATCAAATATCTCATGCAATCATATTAATCCAGCTTTGAATAAACTTATTGTATAATTTAGCCATATTGTTCGCCTTTCTGAATGTTATGGTTGTTACGCGTGAATACAGTACATCGTGAAAAATTTTCTAAGATAAATGTTATGCAAAAATAAGTCTTTTCCAATGGATTTCGGTCTAGGATAAGAACGCTCTTATATTAATTATATTACTTATTATATTACACTAGGAAGTGCTGTTCAGACGGACATTTTAGTGAAGTTTCATTAATATCAAGAAGACTAGTCGTACAATATCAAAGATCAATATTAAAAAGGAGATATATAATCAAAAAAGGAAAATGCGGGGGTGAATAAGGATGACGTAGTGGAAGGAAGGAAGGAATATTATATGGGTGAATTGATAGCATCTTTTAATTTTTATATTGCAAACTAATAGGCAAATTTTCAACATTTAAATAATTGGTCCAGTGACATTGTTCGGTAAATCAACCAACCTACTTTCGATAGTATAATTAAAATTTCTATTATAAATAGTATATTCAAAATTTAACATATTATTCAGTTATATAAATTTTATGTGAACCATTATTATTTAGCAATAAGCTGCTAACTTTCTGATTATTTCATTGATTCAATAATTGATAAATGAATTAAAAAATAAGGCAAAACAGTTCAGACCATTGAAGGTTTAAATAAAATCAAAAAGAGTGCGAACCATCAAAAATTTTTGCATAAACCCACAATGTCAAAATTATACAGTTACGATTTAGTTGCCGCAGTTTGTTGCTTTAATAATGTGTAACGAAGGACTACACAAAATGTCAGTTGTCCTTCTGGCACGTGACGAAGTAAACAACAATAAAATTTGTACAACATCCGTTGCATCCGTTCTTATGGTCCGCTCCAATTTAATTATTTATTAAAAAAACCACCACCCACAAAATATTAAAAAAATCTGGAAAATAAAAAAACAATCAAATTGGAGCGCCCTTAGTTATCAAACTAACCATTTTTCTCAAAATAAAATAAAAAATAAAATAAAATAAAATGTTCGTGCTTCGTTTCTTAGTGTTGTGACAACTTGAAAAAAATTTTAATTTGGCCAAGTCTAACATGTTTTTTATCAGATAAGAACGAGAATTCTTTATGAATAAGATAACTTAAAATAATCCTCAAATTTTANTGCATCCGTTCTTATGGTCCGCTCCAATTTAATTGTTTATTGTAGACCCCTCCCCCCTCAAACTCTTCATAAATTCTGGACGTTAAACAAACAATCAAATTGGAGCGCCCTTAGTTATCAAACTAACCATTTTTCTCAAAATAAAATAAAAAATAAAATAAAATAAAATGTTCGTGCTTCGTTTCTTAGTGTTGTGACAACTTGAAAAAAATTTTAATTTGGCCAAGTCTAACATGTTTTTTATCAGATAAGAACGAGAATTCTTTATGAATAAGATAACTTAAAATAATCCTCAAATTTTAAATAAAAAAAAAAAGAAAATGTTTAATATTTGTCATAAATTGTAAAATGAATTTAACTTGAAGGCCTTGCACTGTTTGTTTTATTGGTTCAAACTGTTAGGCAACTTTTTTTTTGATCATTTACCAATTCTGAATTAAGATAAGAAGATTAATCATTAAAGCATTTTTTTTTATACTTTTCAACCTAATATACTTACATATGCTCTTTAATTTATATTGTACACTATATTTTATAAATTATAAGCAATAATTCCTCGAAGACTAACTTTTTTACATTGTATCATTAGCAAGGAAATGGACAAAATTTTTTATGTTGTATTACTATCACAAAAGTCGTACTACGTTTTAAATAATAAGAGTTATTCCGAAATTATGTCACGTTGTACCTGTCTTATAGTGTGATCTATTCAATGATACATGACACCGCATCCATAGAATTCTTTGCTGGTGTTCTTGTTAAGTCCATTCGAAAAATCTTTTCCATGTTACAGTTCTAGATTAGTTATTTAGACTTTCTTAGTACGATTCTTATAATTAGAAACTTCTACGGATTATATTATTATGGAATTTTCGAATTCGGATTAAAAACTCCTTGCTTAGAAAAAAATATATATATTTAGGTTTTTTGTCTCAAGCAAAAGAGATTAATTTTTTTTTTTAAAAAAAAATTAACGATGGATCAATTAACAAATCATAAAACTGATTTATTATTATCAGACAACACATCTTTAGACCTGCCACAACAAACTACAATTAAACCAAATCGTAAACCTAAAATGACGATATTATGCAGCGAATGTAACCAAATAAGGAAACGTTCAAATGAAAATCATCAGATTTGTCAAGTTTGTTATAAAGCGAAATCAGTATATATACCAAGTGGGAACAAAGTTATTGATGATTTTATTAAGCATACATTAATTAGTGGCAATAAATTAGCTGGAAAAATGGTGTTTGTACCTTATGATCAATTCAAAAATGTAGAATTCATTGCTGAAGGAGGTTTTAGTAAAATTTATAAGGCTACTTGGATTGATGGTCCAATAATGCATGAGTGGAATAATGTAAAAAATAAATATAAAAATTATAAAGTCGTTCTTAAAAAGCTTAATAATTCTAAAGGTATTACATCTAAGGAGTTAAATGAGGTGATTATAGTTATTTATTAACTTAAATTTGAGTTAAGTTATTAATAAACTTTTTATTTTAGCTCAAGATATTTCATGAATTTTCTTTAAATTGGAAAATGACGGGTTCTAATAGAAATAATGTTAGTAGATATTTTGGGATTACCCAAGATCCTGTTACCAAAGATATCATGATTGTTATGCCACATTATAAATTAGGTGATTTGACAAACTATATAACTAATAATTTTTATAGTATTGAATGGGTGTCAAAGTTGTATAAGTTAAGTCAAATAGTAACGGGTCTTATCAATATACATAGTGTAAATATTTTACACAGAGATTTTCATAGTGGAAATATCTTTTTTCGTGATAAGTATAATACACAGAGTGTATATTTAGGTGATTTGGGATTAAGTAAATCTGCAACTGAAATTACGGACGATGATAATAACAAAGAGAATTATGGTATCATTCCTTATATGGCTCCAGAGATTTTTAAAGGAAAAAAATATACCAAAGAATCAGACATATATAGTTTTGGTATGATTATGTGGGAATTTATGACAAGTAGAAGGCCTTTTTGGGATAGAAGTCATGATACAGAACTTATAATAGAAATATGTGATGGTTTAAGACCACCAATTGTTACAAATGCGCCCAAAGGGTATATTGAATTAATGAAAGAATGCTGGCATTCTGATCCTAATAAAAGACCAGTAGCTACTGATATTTTTGATAGACTTGATAAAATGTGGAAGGGTGAATTAGTACCAGCAGAGAAAACTAAAATTATACAGTCGTTAGATATTGGACCTGTAACAAAAAATAATCCAGGTGCTATTTATAGAAGTAGATCTTTGAGTGGTATGATTCAATCTGCAATGTTTACAATGTCTACAAGAAGTTTAAGAAGTCAATCTATAACTGCAGAATTTGGTAAATATAATAATGCTGAATAAGCTTTAATAAAAACAAAATTAATAATATACTTAATATACTCTACTTCGTTACCATTTAGAACTATCCAATTATCATCAAAAAAACGATATATCATTTAATGGTAATTATTTATTTAAGGTTAATATAATTTTAAGTAATATTAATAAGTTTTATTTTTTAAGATAAAAGAAAGTTCGACGCCACTCAAATTGAAAACAGTTTTAATGATGAAGGTATGACAAAAGTCAAAAATTATATATAAATGTGAATGAATTCAATATTTACTAATTTAAAATTTCCAGATAAATTTATTAAAAAGGTTAAATTAATCGAAAATGAAAATAATGGTAAAATATTTCGCGTATTTGTAATAAAAATAATTTGTGCTTATATTTAATTATTTTTCGTTTTCATTTATTTAGATTATACTACGCAAGAATTTGAATTGGACATAGATATAGATTCTGAACAATTCATCGATGATAAAAGTAAGTGATGTGCTTATTATATTTTCAAAAAATTTTTATTATCTTAACCTAATTTCTTTAAATTTAAAATATAGGATATACTACACTTGAAAATGATTTTGATATATGAATGTCGGTCTTTATTGAAACTTATTAGAGATTTATATTTTTTCTTTTTATGTTATTATTTTTTTTAAGTTTTATATTATTATTTATTAAACATTATATAAATTATATATAAAAAATAAATTTATTGATATTTCAAATATAGTATAAAAAAGTTTAATACAAAATACAAAAAATAACCTTATTAATAAGCGTCAATTATAAAGTGGTAGCAAGCTTTGAGAAGCCAAATTGTAATAATCCAGCGTAATTTTGAATTTTTGCATCGTTCATTATATTAAATGTTTTAGTTAATAAATGTTTATTCACCAAAAATTCGGTAAAAATTACTAATATAAAGTCATTTATGATTTATGACCTAACGAAAACTTTTACAATATTATCTAATTTATTCATGAAATTTTTTTAAAAATTTTTTCGGTATTAATTTTTTCGATTAAATACGATAGATTTATTTCTATTATATGAAATTATGTTTATTGAAAAAAAAATCATTATATATGTATAGCCAAATATAAAAGAGAATTGCATTTTTGTAAAAACAAATTTAATAATTTATTCCTTCCCTCATGAAGAGAAAGAAGTGTTTAGATTTCTGTAACCAAGTCAATGTATTTATTTGCGAAACCTTTGAATTGGTTTAATTATCATATAATATATTGATAATAAATTATTTTTAATATATCATTTTTTTTTATCTAATGGAACAGATAAATTTTGTTTATTTTGTACGTTTAAAATAGTTCCATAAGTATTTTTAATTTTGATTTAAAATATACTTTTTTTATAATGATGAATATTTTTCATACGAGTATTTAATAAAAATCACGAATATATGCACTAATAATAAAAATAGAAAAATTTTTCTTAAAAAATATTTATAGAAATAAAAAAGATAAGAATATGAATTATAATAAATATGAATTTTAAATTTAAGAAAAATCATTATAAAATATAAATCTTATCTGTCATGATATCAAAATAAAATTCTGTTACAGCCGGTAAAAGAATTTTAAATTAAAAAGTTAATTCCTGAAAATTGAACTTTATCAATGGCAAAATTGTTATACAGTATATTCAATAAAACTAAATTCAATTAGTTATACAAAATTTTATACAGTATAATAACAAAATTTTAATTCTTATACAATTTGAAATACTTCAAATTCTTCCACGGTAAATACATTTTCAGTTTTTCTAATCAATTTTTCATAGAAATTTTTTTTACTAAGACAAAAACTACCAAAATCATAACTCATCCCCAATATAGTAAGATCGTTCCAACCAAATGATGGACCACTAAAAATCCCATTAAATGTAGCATAACATTCATTCATTACACGACTTAAAATATAATTCTCAATTCTATCATCATTATCAAAAGAGAATATAAAACTATCTTTAGTAGTTCCATAACTACCATCAGACCTCCATTCAACTGGATTATATCCCCCGAGAATTTCGTTACTATCTTTCGCTTTAATAACTGTTACTGTACGATATCGATTATCACAAGTTTCATGAAATTTTTCTCCTGAAAATCCGTCACGAGATCCGCGAAATAATAATTGGAATTTATATGGAGAATTTAACTTGTCCATAATTTCTAATCTATTGATCCATTTCGAGATTAATTCAATATGTTGATATGTAATAATTTTTGAATCAATAGTTGACTTGTTATTAGGATCCGATAGACTTAAATAAAATTTTAATAAATCTTTATACATTTCCTTTGACAAAATTCTTTTATAAGGTAATACTTTATCCATAAATTCTTTTGAAGTTAAGTTATAAAAATTAATAAAAGGAATACATTGTTGTAAAGTATTCTTTAAAGTATTGAAATCATCCTTTGAATAGTTTTCGACATCAGAAGGAAGTTCAGGATGTTGAGCAAGTCCCCATTTAAGAACATTATTCCAAATTTTAATGTTACTAATTTGAAGTTTATCATTTTGAATAACTGAAATTAAAAGATTTTCTGGAATCAAAGAGAAGTTTGTTGAATTGAATAACTTATCTGGTTCTTTGGTTATTAAATCAGTACAATATTTTTGTAGTTCAAAGAACGAATTATTTTCAAAACTCATTTGATATATCAAATCAAGATTTTTTTCCATCCATTGTTTTTTGTTTTCGATCAAAAATGATTGTAAATATGTTATTAATTCCTGTAGATTAAGTTCATTGGCAGCAACTAGAATTTTAATTATATCTAAAGTATCATATTCTTTTAAAGTAAGACTTCCACAATAAAGATACCTAGAAAAAATAGAAATTAAAGAAATTAAAGGATTATTCAATAAAAATTATCAACCATTTTATATTTCTGTACCTTAAAATTATTTGAAAAATCTCTGGTAAAATATTTGGTAATTTAATATGCATCAAAGTTCCATCATTTTTCTTTATATTATTAGTTGATAAAATTCTTTGTAAATAAGAAGAACGATAATATAGAATTACCATATGAGCTCGAAATATTTTTACGTAAGGATCTTTACCAACTTCAATGGTAATATCATAAAATTCTTCATCATTTAAAATTTCAAATAAATTTTGTGTTAACTTTGGTAAAAGTTTATTGTCAACCATTTTTTTTTTTTTTTNTTTATCCATAAATTCTTTTGAAGTTAAGTTATAAAAATTAATAAAAGGAATACATTGTTGTAAAGTATTCTTTAAAGTATTGAAATCATCCTTTGTTTTTTTTTTTTTTTTTTTTAATAATTTTAAATGTAACAAGAACAAAATCCAAATTTGTAAATGTCAACCTTTTATAATAATTGTACTCTGTGCAACATCAAATTTGTATATTTTCATGCACATGACAAATTGCGCAACACTTATTCAAACTCGATATTTTTGAAAAATTTACTATTAACTTTAAGCATAATTATCTTTCAGTGCCGGAATTATAATAATGTCAGTCAGTAAAATAATTTCCTGACCAGAATTATCAAAATTATCCATAAAAGGTTGTGTAATAATATAACTTTGGTTTGTGACTTTGTGTTATTAATATTTTTTATAATCATATACGATAAAATGCTCATACTGTATCTAATGATATATCTAAACTTAGAATCATCATCTCAATATATCGAAAAACGCTTGAAAACTACAAAAAAAACCAATATACTACATACTTCACTTGATGCATTAAAGTTTTAACATACTAATTCTTTAATATTGAAATACATTAATTCAAAAGAAAAAATCTCATTTTTCGCTTACTATTCCATAGGACACAACTCTTGAATGTTGTAAAGCTTAGATTTATGGTTGATAAAATGTTCAATAAAACTTTTATATGCTTAGACGAAGCTATATACTAATTTAGATATATTTTTTTTTGATAATGTAAATCTGATTTCTTAAATAGCTGTATCGAACATAGTGGAAAGTTCTTTCAGCGGATCATATTTCAAACTTAGTTGTAGTAAATACAATGATTCACGTAACCATATACATTCGACAATAAATCTTAATCTTGGCTAGAACTATAAAATTTTAATTCTGGTTTACGTTTAATAAATATTTTTATACTCAAGCTTCTGATATCTTTCACTTAAAATGAAAATTTGAATTTAGTATGAAATTGTGTAGTCCGGGTGATTATATTTAAATAAACAATGATGAATTGATATTAAATTGATTGTTTGATCACAAAATACCGAAACCAACGATCAATGTTACGCATATAATAATAGAGTTGAAATTTTAAAATAATTTTTTTTTTTTTTAATCGGATTTTCACTAATTAAAAATTTTCATCCGGATTAAAATCATTATATAAATCCGGATGACGGATTCCATCCAGATCGAAGAGAGTAATAAAGGGTTTGAGAAAGTAATATTGTATACTTTTTTTTTGCTGTTAAAATTTAGTAAATAATTTTTGAAATCGGGAAGCATTTCTTATATTATTATTCCCAAATGTTTATTGTCCTCTACATATAACTTTGTCAAAATAAAGTTTGACGAAATATTATTACAATTCTCTGCTAAATTTGGTATATGGTACCAAATTTGCGGAACGTATCTTTATAAATTTCCCAATTATATATTGATCACTGTAATGCCGTGAATTACCTAGTGAATTTATTAATTGTGAGGCGTAGTATTATATTTAGTTTTAGTATATAAATTTTTATAGTATTCTTATTTATTGTGGTCCGGAATGACCTTAAACTATCGAATATGTTCGAATATGAGGTAATGTTTATTAGTGAAGAATGGGATCATATGGATTATTATGTTTATCAAATTCAATGGAGTAGTGAATTTATTATGATCAATGGAAATGGTACAACTTAGTTACTTATAAAAAGGAGGTAAATTCGACCATTTAAGAGGAAGAATTAACTATCTTATTTTACCCGTTAGATTAGCTATTTCGATTCTTTTTGCCGTTTTCTTATGATGAAAACGAGACACATTAATTAATTTAATGGTATATTTAAGGGATTAATATGGGGAAATTATCGCATTTTAATTTTAGAAATTATTTTATTAGGAAATATCATTAAACCAAGCATTATTATATTATTTTGTTATATTTTTGTATTAATAATAAAGTATCTTTTGTTAACGCTCTCAAGGTGACAACATGGTTTACCATGGGCTTGAACGTTACATCACCCAAAATTCAACTAAATCGGGTCTATCCAAGTAATATATAAATAATGAGAATGATCCTCAAATTATTCTAAACGTAAAGTGAGAAAGAACTGCTAAAAAAGAAACATAATTTAAGTAAAAATGTGTCAAATAAAGAATTAAATTAATGACTTTATGTATTTTTTATTTAAATGAAGTTAATAACATATTGAAATCTTAATAAACTTATACATGACAAATTAATATTATTAATTTATTTCTATTTCTTGCTATTTTGTGACTTCCTTTTATATCCTTGTGTCTATAATTTATACTCTTTTACTATGAAAAAAATTGGAAAAATCGTTAAATAAATTAATTAAATAAATAAATATTTATTAATATTAACTGGAATAGTCACTTACACGATAGGATGAAAAGATAACTGCTTTTACTTGAAATTACAAAAAGCCAGATTTTTTTTTCGAAGTGGCACTAACTGGCTGTGCCACAACAGATTTGACTGCGCCTAGTGATCGACATAGCCGCATGTGATAAATTTAATGTGATCACAAATCATAACAGATAATGACTTTACGTTGAATAATATTGAATAATTGTGAGACAATCAGAATTGTTATAACAACTCATTCGATGTAACTTGCAAATTCGAAAACCCTTTTTCTCTTCTTTCCTTTCTCTTAACATATGGCATGTTCAAAGATATTTCTAGGAGATTTACCAGAATTAACAAATGGAATTATACAATATCTTCATCATGATTATAAAACACTATATTCGTGTATATTAGTTAATAGATTATGGTGTCATTCAGCAATTCCATTATTATGGGAAAATCCATTTTCAAATAAATTTCTTAAAAATTATCACTTTATTGAAATTTATTTACATAATTTAAATGATGATGATAAAATAAAATTAAATGAATATGGAATTAATAATGATTTAATTCCTTCAAATACATTATTCAATTATCCTAGTTTTATTCAACATTTTACTACACGTAAATTTAATAATTCTATTAGAAATTGGGAAATAACTATTAATCAACATTCCAATTATACTATACAATCATCAAACTTTATAAAATTTATTTATAAGTCATTATTTCTAATATTCATTGAAAATGAAGTAAATTTATATAGTTTAAAAGTTTCATTATTTACAGATGAAGAACGTGAATATTTTGTTGATACTCTTGAATTAATTTTACAAAATCAAAATTTCTTTAATAATATCAAAATTTTGAAACTAGTTTCTATATCAGCTGAAACTTTATTAAAATTTTCAAAAATTCTCAACTCTAATTGCAATTCAATTTCATCACTTTATCTTAAATTCTTATATCAATATTGTTTTGAATTCCCATATAATACTAACAATCAAATGATGAAATCAAGTTTATCACAAATTATTAATTCTCAAAAAAATCTTAAAAAGATTTTACTTAATTTTAATGGATTTCCTTTGTATAATTCATTATTATCATTAAAAAATTCTAATTGTTTAAATACATTAAATACAATTATATTTTATTGTATTAGTTTTAAAAATATAATTGTTTTATTAAATGAAGCATTTAATCAATTGAATGTTTTAGAATCAGTCCATATTATTTTTTGTTCTTATTTAAATACTGAATTTATTCAACAATTTATTAATATTACTAAACCATTTAAATTAAAATCTTTATTCTTGAATAAAGTATTACAAATTGAATCATTAGAACTTCTAATACAAATCTTTGGTAACAATATAGAAGATTTTGGAATTAAGAAAATAGATGAATCACAACAATTACTTCAATTGCTTGGATTAGTTATAACATATTGCTATAAAATTAAATTTTTATATTTATCTTTTTGGTTAAATAGTCAAAATATTAATTTAATATTTAATTTAATTGAAAATATTAAACAGAATCTTAAATATCTTTTCATTGAAATCTCTGATTTTAGTAGTGTTTATTTGAGTTCAATTTTATTACTAAATTTAGGACAAATTCTCCCTTTTAAATTAGAATATTTGAATTTGAATCTTGTAATTGACAGAAATGCTTTAGAAGCTTTCTTAAAGAATTCACAAAATACTTTTATTAAAAAATTGTTAATTTTTAATAGAAGTATGAAAAAAGGTGAAGATATTTTCCCTTGTATAAAGGAATATATTATGAAAAAGAAGAGGGTTAAATATTTGGCTATTTCAGATAATTTTTATGAAAACTCTGATTTGTCTCTCCTAGAAGATAAAGTAAATGAATCTAAATTATATGATGTTCAACTTTTAAATTATTTTAGTTTAAATATTAATATTGAAAATTTTATTTTTAATGATGATAATGTGCAATAATCTAAATCATTTCAATAAAATTATATCATTGTTAATGCTTTGAATTGTAATAATTTGTAGGGATTTATTATAAGTTCACTTCTTTCATGATACTTTAATTATTTTTAGTAATGAAGTAATTTTACTTATGCTTTAATTAGTACATAAATTAGCTGGTAATAAAACAATGTTATTATTTCAAAAAATATTATTTAAAAAATGATAAAATATGTTAAACCTAAAAGTTATTTGTTATTTTAATAACATTTATAATTGTTGCTTCAAAAAACGATTTTATTGATAGTTATATTTCTTTATTGTATTATTTTTAAATATAAATGCAGAAAAAAATCATCTGACTAAAATATATGGTATATGGGACATGTAGCCCTTGAACTTTTTCTATTACACACAGGGATTTTCAAAGGATTAGTATCAAAAAATCATAAATATCAATTATTAAAGACAGATAATATAGCATTTTAATTAGGCTAACTGAGAAATGCAATAATCTGGCATATCATGCATAAATAATTGGCATACTTTACATTGAATAGTTGCATAAGAAAAAAATTCCAGCCCTATGTATAAATAATTAGTGTGTATTTCATTGTATATTTGCATCAAAAAAAAAAGATATAGCTCTCAATAATCAATTCTTTTTTATTCTCAAATATTTATTATCCTATTAGACAATAAAATTTAGCAATAACCTATAACATATTGTAAGAAGGGTAATACTTTAATAATTTGTCACAGTAAAACAATGATCTTTTAACACATTACTTGCTTTTTAATAATGAAAAAACCAAGATATTATTCGAGTCACTTTAAAACTGTGATAAAAATAAAAGAAAACAGAATCATTTCTGGATTTTTCTGTATGATAAATAAATTTTCAAGGATAGTCTGATATTGAGCTCTCTCATTATTATTATCATTGATATATAAAAAAACATTTAAGGAACTTTATAACCCATTAAATATTTATTTGTACTTGATTTATGATAAAGAAGCAATTAAGTAATAAAATTATTTTTTCCTTTCTATAAGATAACGTGCAGAAATTAACAACAGCAAGTATATGAATCGTTCTGATTATCTTCATTTTTGATGTGTAATAATATTTAGTAACTTTGTTTCCAATAATGAGTAATTAGAATTTTTACTGATCATATTACTTAATTTATGTATTAATATTAATTATATTATCATAACTTATATGTTGAATAATGTATCTTGTTAATAAATAAAATAATATTTTTTTAAATGATCATGCAAAATAATGATTTCTTTTTTTAAAAAAATATCATGTGGTTATAAAATAAATTGATGATTTTTTTTAATATACAATTTCTAAAAATTTTTGTTTTGTTGGGTTTAAAATTTTAAAAAAGTTATGAATGGTCAGCTCAGGTTATTATGAATATAATGGGTAATTTATCTTCTTTATTGAAATATAGAAAGCTACTTCCAGAGATTTTTGTTTTTCTTATAATATTGTAGTCACTTTCTTTGCATAATACCAACTTAAATATTACTCATTAGGAGTAAACTAAGTTTGCTATTTTGTTTTTGTGATCGTGTAGTAATTCTTTTTTGAATGATAACTATTTCATTATTGATTATAAATTCATTATTTTTTCAGTTTTTTAATACATTTAAGCAATAAGTCTATTACTATCATTATATATATTTGCCTTTTCACTTTTGTCATCTTTTTCAGAAATATCATTATTATCAATCTTTTTCTGTTTTTTATATCTCCATAATAGAAATTTGATTATTTATTTCAAATTCCTTATTATCAATATTATAAATATTTTATTAGCATCACATCACCACTTGGCATCTGCTCATTAATTTTTTTAATTATCTGAATTTTTTCTTTTTATTATAAATAAATCTTCTGAGTGCATAAAATTGAAGTTTGGAAATTAGTTTTTAGTTGATTATCAGGAAAATTATCCAACAAATTTTGCTTCAACAAATGGTATTTCAATATCATCAAAGTCAAGAATCCCTACAATAAAAATAATTTTTCAATTTCCAATCTATGATGAAAGTATTCTGAAGTGTAAATTTGATCCAGTGTCAAATATAATTTGTATTTGAAATTTATTTTCCTTATTTTCAAAGATAGAATGTATTAAGGTAATTAATTGTTTATCTTAGATATATGTGATTATTTAATATTTATCAATGTCATTATTTTTTATCATTATTTATTATCTCTGGTAGTCTGATTTTTTTACTTAAGAATATAAAGTTATTCAGAGGTTAAATTAATGTAATGACGTGGATTTATAATTCATTTTTTTTGTTCTTTTAAATGCTTTATTCCAAGGTGCAGTTTGTTTACTATTTGCACATTCTTTTGCTTGGTGTTTTGCTGATTTCCAACACTTAATACAATATCCTTTGGTATTTTGAAGGTATTTCAGGACTGTTTACTATCCAATGTTCTTATATTCAGGTTCTTTGACTGATTCAACTTATGGATGTGATATACTGGCTAATTACAGTAAACTAATTATATGAAATTATTATCAGTTTATTTTTATTTTTATTTCAATGTGAATGAAGCTACATAGCTTAATTATTGTGTATTATCCACTATCAGAAGAACTGAACTGGTGTTGATATCTTGGATAGAATTAGATCTAATTTTAGATCTATTTCTTGTTGTGCAGTTTTATGTTTACATTTATTCTAATTGTGATACATCATTCTGTAAATTGCTAACATCTTTTTCAAACTTTCATTGTTGATTATTTGTATATTTATTTGTATACCAATTTTTCTAATCCTTCATACTTTATTGCTAAGGTGTTGTAAAGTACTTCCATTTTCTTAAGGTGTTCCCCTTAATTCTATGTACACACTTATTACTTAGTCTTTTTAGAATGTGAAATTGTCTTTCCTGCAAAATAATAGATATGGACTGCATTAGCTCTTCTCTTGTTATGCTGACTAGATGACCATCACCATTGACACCAATATATACAGATCTTTTGCTGTTACAACAAACCGCCTGAATTTCACCTGGAATGAAATAGATTTAATTTTTGTCATTGTATGATTGGACATTTTTACCAGATGTGATGGAAATTTGTAATTACTCTGGTTTTTATTTCTGGTTGTTTTTTATTGGGTGTGTTGTTATGATTTAATTGGATTACATGACTATAATTTGTAATGAATTCTTGAGTTTTATACATTGTCTTTGTAAGTAAAGTTTTTTGAAAATTTTATGATTATAAGGGTCTATTTTATGTTGAATATCACAATTTTAATAAGTATGTGAATGTGTGATGGTTTTCCACAAATTGAATAACAAGTTCCTTTATTTGGATTTGGATATATGTATACTGTATTTTCAGTTATGTTTGTTTGATTTTAATATTTCTTTAGGAAAATCATCTATTAGGGCGTAAATGTAGGCTGATTTATGCAGGATAGTCTATCTGTTTAGATAAATATGCAAGTTTGATCATTAATATGTCTGATGATGGGGTGACGTCTCTAATATTCCATTTAATGGGTGCCAGTAATTTTGTAAGAACAAGTTGTTCAATTTTTGTACTCAGGGTGGCTGGGATTGTCTGGTACTATTCTAACTTAAGCATTTATTTTATATGCTTCAAAAACAGAATACATAACATCTTTGACTCTTAGGTATTTGTCTGCCCTTTCCTCCTTGAATAGCACTAATAATTGCTTTGCTTGTATTATGGTCTTCTTCTTGGTGGTATACATGTTTTTAAAGTTGAAGGTTGGTTTTTTTCTGCTTGATTAGGAGATCATTGGGACTATCTTTAAGTGTTATGTTTAATGATTTCTTTGTAGTTTTTAATTGAACATCCTGTAGTGTTTGCTAAATGTTATATGATTAATTTGATATTATAATTTATAGGTATGTCTAATACTTTAAATTTGGATTTAGCTAATGTTTTGATATTTTCTTCTGCATAATCATATAATATTTTTTTAAGAACCTTGTATTTTTTGTTAATATATCATTCTTTTTTCTACTGTATTGAATTGTATGACAGAAAGTGATATGTCATATAATAACAATTATAAAATTTGACCAAGTCTTTTTCTTGTATAAATGCTGATTTAATTTTGTCTTCTATCTTCTGTAAAATTAATTCTTTAGGAAAAGAGTCTCTTTGGAAAAAATCTTCATAAATAACATTGGAATGTATAGCAAATTCTCTATATAGGTTAGGAATTACTTCAATTTTTATCATTGTAAACTTTCTCTTTTTGTTTTAGGTCAGTTTGTGTTTGATAATTACAGAAATGGAGGTTTTTCAATCTCTAAATCTATTGTTATTTCTGTTTGGTAATTTTTACATTGGTCATATGATGTATTTGAATTTGTAAAGTATTGCATCTTTCATTTAAAAATGGGTGGAATTCTTGAATGTCATTTAACAACTTTGCTTCTATCTCTTCTGAACTTCTATCATCCAGTATTTGATTTGAGTGCAAAAAAGTTATTTATTAATGGCATCGTATTTTTGGTCAACTCAGATAATTGTTGTTTACATGAAGATAATTCATCTTGTGTAGTCTTTCATATCAGTGATATTTGGATATTATCATTATTGTTATTTAATTTTTTGCTGCTTATATTTAATACTCTGATCATTTTTGTCATATAGAGCAAAAGTTTTGAGTACATAGCCAAGCCGAACCTTTATTAGAATTTTTGGTTTTCCTTTTGCTTGTAACACTTTTGTTAGACATGTTTTTCTAAGTATGTAAAGTTTCTTGTATAAAACTTATCTCTCATGATATATTCTATGAGTTTTGTTGTAAAATATATTTATCCAGAATTATTATCAGCATTTTCATAATTGCTTAATTTTCTTTTTAAATTTAGAATCATGTGATTATATAAAAGATTGAATGTTATCTATCATTTTATTCAACAAGTTACTATAATAAGTAAATTCTTGAAGAATAAATAATTTTGAGAATGATGTTCAATTGAGTAAGCTTAAATTTCA